GTTTTTTTGCGGGCCTTTTTTGTTTCCTGGCTCAGCTGAGGCGCAGCGCCGTGACCGCCGCAATGGCCAGCCAAATGGCGAAGAGGTTGCAGAAGATGGTGGTGAACTTTTGGAGGCCCGTCTCCTTCCGAGTTAAAGCCGTCGGAGATGGATCCATCGACCGACTCAAACATTGGGGATTCCTTGATTCGGGAGAGCCGCGGAAGGAAGCCTGAAGGAGCAACCCAGGAAAATGGTCTAAGGAAAATGCTTGTGGACTTGTATGACTTGCTTATGAGGTTTAAACAACGTTGTGGTTCAAGCCAGGTGTTTGACTCAACCCCGTCCTCCTCCCCCGAGTCCCCAGCCTTGCGGAAAAGGGACCGGCCTGGAGAATTGCAAGGAGGGTAAGTTGTGGAAATGGCCCGGGCAGAAAAAACAATTGGGCCCCGGTATGTCTGGGTCCCTTTTTGAGCTCCAACCATTGAAGCACAAGCGACCTATGGCAGAAGGTGCCTAGCAGTGCGCTTGAACTTCGTGCCCCTGCCAGAAAACGTTTCGCCTCTTCTCTCATAAGCCCACATCCAAACCCCAAATCCAAATCCATCCTGGCCTGCCCTCTTGCTCGCCAGCGCGTTGGCGAAGCCCATCAGCGCCACCAAAGGCGTCACCAAGGCGGCCCGGCCATCCTTGCCCGACTCCGCAGTCGCGGACGCCTGCGCGGCCACCAAAGGTGGCGCCTGCGCCAGGTGCGCAGCGGTGCCCGCGCCAGCGAAGGTGCCACGGGCCTGGCTCGCAGAGTCGACTCCAGCCCTTGTTGAAGCATGTTTAACCACTGATTCAACGCCCATGTTTCCGTAAACCTCAACAAACTGGTGGCACATTGGCTGGCTGTCAGGGCTGGGTCAACCCCTCCTTTTGGTTTTCGATTCAAAGGTGGCGGTCTGGTCGCGCCTGGGCCTGCGGGGCCCGGGATGAAGGCGCCACAGTCACGAAGGTCTGGAGGAGACCCAGAAGCCCCAGCCCCAGGAGTCCCGGCAAGCACTTGCTGCGCGCCATCGGATCCCGCTGCAGAGCTAAGCGACCCAACTTGAGCACTGAGCGAAAGATGGCCGGGTGACGCTGTCACGACTGCCTCAAGTTCCCTGAGCCCAAGTTGGACTTTCCACGTCCGCTAGGCACCGATCAATCCCAAGCTGATTTGGGCGGTGTCCATCGTTTTCTGAGGCTTGGCACCCTTTCGATTGGATTAAAGGCAAACCAAAGGCAAAACTCTTTTTTGGGGTTCCCCTATTTTTGGACCCCATGTGGTCGGCCCTCGGCCATGGTCAAGCTTGAGCTCCGGGCAGCCAAAGCCCGCGGACACGGCGGATGAAGCCGGAGAAGCGCTCGTAGGCCTCGAGAGAAACAAAACCAAGCGAGCGGAAGACCGGAGAACAGAGCCCCCTCTTTTCACTATGTTCAAGGGACGCCAAACGGAAACCAAAACATGGGCATGACTTTATTTGGGAGCTTCTTGGTGGACTTCATGCAGGCGGGGTTGCATGTTCACCAGCGTTGTTTGGAAGGGTGGTAGCCCTAGGTGAGAAACAGGTGGCTCTGTATTGGCCTAGCACTTTCTCCTACCTCCTGTCATCAGCGCAAAGTCACCGAATCTGTATTCTAACCAAACACACACACACACACACACACACACACTCACTCACTCACTCACTCACTCACTCACTCACTCACTCACTCACTCACTCACTCACTCACTCACTCACTCACTCACTCACTCACTCACACACACACACACACCACACACACACACACAGACACAGACACACACACAGACACAGACACATTGAAAATTTAGGTGTTTGTTTGTTTGTTTTCTCCGCGCGGCCGCATCCTTGGCTTTGCTATGCTGTCCCTATCAGCCCGAAATGAAGCTGGCATCTTCGTTTGCTGGCAATTCTGCCGTTTTAGGAACACATCAGCTCCAAGTCATCATATCACCACGGATTATATCACCCCTATTTGCGTTCAAGGCGCGACTTGGCGCTGCCACCAAACTTTGGGGACACTGTGCGTGTCATTATCTTCCCCCGCAAAAAATCACACAAATAAAACGGGGGCCCAACGAGCCTCGGCGTCCTCTGGCTCAGCGGCAGCAAAGACGGCCGCCACCAGGGTCATACCCTGACAGTACCCCAACCTCAGCGTGACGAGTATCCCAGGCGCCACATGGTTGTGGTCTCTGCGCTTGTTGGTACCCTTTTTGGAGGGGCTTCCAAGGGAAATCAAAAGCAGAAGCGAAAACCACTTTTCGGAGGTTCCCATTGTGTCATGGCCCGAACTATGACATTTGGTGGGGAATACCCTCAACAGCTGCGGGTGGCATACATCTAAATGATGTCTACGAGTCTCCAAGTGATGTTCATACCGTCATGGTTTGCTGTTATGGAGCGCTTAGAGCGTTTGTCTAATTTGCATTTTGACCATGATACATTTGGGTTGTCCTCCTTTCAACACGGAAAGCACGAAGAGTGATAGAATCACACGCCGAAATCACTTCCAGTGAGCGGACATCCCAAAACGTCGGACCTATCCCATGGCGGCAGTCCCCGCGTCTCATGAACCGCCGCCTTGTCCAGGGTCCTGGCTCTGGGTCATCCTCCAGGTGTTGCAGGATCATGGTCCGCACCCTGGTCAGCGAGTGCAGAGATTTTCAAGATTGGTCCCCCTATACGATACCAACTAGAAGAGGGGCCTCACAAAACAACATGCTTCGCTCACACATGGGTTCGGCTGTTTTGAGGCACCTCCAAAATGGTGGTTATTTTCCTGTTGGTTTCTGTTTAAAACCCCCCAAAAAAGTGCACCCTCAAAAAATGCCGAGCTACTGGCTCGGGATTTCGTCTGTCTCCAAAAAGGGCTGTCAAGATTTGCCCTTTCACAAGGAAAACTATGCTTGAAAGAAGGCAACCACTGGGCAATGTGATTAGAACTATCCTTGGAGAAATATGTGTTTCTGCCAAAAAGTCTGCCACCCGATTTGGGAGCGTCTTAAAATAAGGGAACCTCCAACATGAGTGTTTTTGTTTCCTTTCTGGCCCCCTTTACACCCACCCCCTTGCGTTTCGCCCCACACAAAGAGACGACACCCATTTCAGGCGAAGCCCCGGTCCTGCCGATGCAGGCTTGCAGCGCCACATCGCTCCCCGCCGTGCGGGGCAGATCCAGGTCGAGCTGACGCAGCACCTCGCGACCCATAAATTCGCTCCTAGAGGCAGCACATCCGAAAAACACGACCAAGAACCCCCTGAAAAGTGGTTGGTGGACAGAAATCCCCACCGAACATTGATGTCCAAAGGGCCCCAAATCAAATTTCATTCGCACATGGATTTCCTTGGATCCAAAGGTAAAACCCATGTTCTAATTGGCCAGTTGGGTGACGACAAGCATCAAAAGGTGCCAGTTGTTCTCGCAAAGGGTTTGGCGCCATAAAAATTGATGTGGGGTGTGTACCAAGTCGTCAAGGTGGCCTCTTAAACGGGACAGCCAACTCAGAACCGAACTCGATTGGCTCAGTTCACTGAGGGGTAGAGGGCCAAAGTAACCATGTTTTGGCATGCAAGTCAACAAAAGACCCGAGACCTTCCTCAGTGGTTTCTTTTGGAGCTGCTTTCCGTGTGAACGGCAGAAATATCCAGTTTCCGCAATGGACATTGTTTTCTTCGGCTCGTCCCCCCCGTTTCTTGCGGAAATCTTCCACTGTGTCCTCCATGTCCTTCCCCAATTTTTACCAACAGACTACTGGGCCAACCCCCTTCGACATGTTTAGACAACAATTGCATAAACTTGTTGGTTTCCCGAACGAATCAGCCAAAGTGTGCTTTTCGCAGCCAAAAGGAACCATTTACCGGGACACCCAAACAAAGCCTCGCGTTTCTTTTTCCGCCAATTGAAATTAGGGACCACTTTTGAGATGGTTCCCTAACCGAACCTCCTGTCCCTTGCCTCCGGATCCGCAGCCTCGAAAGGAGACCTCGCGAAGGAACATGGGTTCAGTCATGCACAACTTAGGCCCCCGCACTGCGCCTGAGCTTACCGTGCAGCTCTCGTTCTTCATTTCATGGCAACTGGCAAACCTGCACCCAAGGCACCTGAATATATCCAAAACAAACAAAAAAAAACGTCAACTGGTGAAGTGGTGACTTGCACTCAACGTCAGACTTTCCGAGTCTGAGCAGCCCGGCCGGCTGACAGCCACCGGCGCCGCATCCATTCAGGGAGCCTCCGCGACTCTGGGAGGCGTCGACCCGGGCTGGACAAAAATTTGGCATGGTCAAGATGTTCAATAGGGAAAATGGGTCTATGTGGAATGCTGCAAATGTTGAGCGACCCAGTATGATAGTAAAAGCTTCCCAGAATCCGACCCATTGTAGCCTCCTGGTGCACCCTTACAACGGAGTGCACCGGCAGGTTTTGGCAAACAATTTAAGGAGAAACCACCCCCCAAAGTTCATTTTGAGAACCCCCTCAACATGCAGCCAAGTTCAGGGACCCAGCCAATCCATGACCAAAAAAGGGCACCATCTCACGTTCGCCAAAACATCGCGAACCGCAACTGGGGCCATGGCTTCGAAAGCCCAGAGGAACACAGGCATTCGAAAGCCCGGACGCAATGAGTGAAGGGACGGGCGGACCAAAAACGCTCTTCGCTCAGCTGGAGTTTGCAGATGCCAAGCTTGCTGCGTGCTGTGGGCAGTTTGTTTTCATCTGATGTGGGCCAGTGATATTCAGACCCCATCCGTCCAGGTCATGATACCTTTGCTGCAGCCAAAAGGAGGCAAGCGCACTCAGTGAACCGTACCATGGTCACTAAAGCCCCTCACACAGCGAGTCGCGATGGTTCCGTCCTAGGTGGTTCTGCCATTTTTCAGGGTACCCCTTTTGGTCGGGTTTAGAGGCGAACCGAAAGGAGAATCACAAGCCTTTGACTTGGTCTCCAATGACTGAGCTGAGGGTCTTGCCAGCATCCATCGACAGGGTAGCGTCTGCATAGGACTGGGACTCAGCGGCACTTTCCGGCTCCCGGAACCAGTGAGCTCAGTTCAGATTGTCTGACTCGGATACGGCCCTTTTTGAGTGCGTGTAAGGGAAACCGGGTTGACTTGCGCCTTTGAAGGCAAAAACCAGACACGAGCTCGGGTCCAGTTCGACAAGACAAAGACCCCCTGGCCAAACTCAGGTTGCAACCCATCATCGGCGGACCGATGGAGATGGATCCTTGCAAATGCCCACAGTCGCTGTTGGCAAAGCAAAACGCGCTAACATGCTGCACACGGTGAAAATCACCAAAGCATGCTGAGGTCGCAACGTGTTCATCAGGGACTGATCATGAATACAATCTTTGCTCCTGGGAAGAACAAAATTGGACTACTTGCACTGGATTATGGTGCTTGCTAGGCCTGTGATGGACCCCCTCACCTGCATCCTTGTAGGAGTTGCTGAGAATCCTTGCTTGCAGGGTTGATCACCTTGCTCAACACCCCCAGACTTGGTTGGTCTCTGACTCGCAAAAAGATACTGGGGAAATCGTGTGTCATATTCTAAGTCATAAGGCAAAGGGCGGCACCAAGGAACTACCCTCCCAAGTATGGAACCTACCAGGTCCCTTGAGGAAAATGGCCCGGGAAACCACAGTCAGAGTCCATGGCAACGTAGCGGCTAGCGGTGTTGTTTCTTTCCTAGGGCTGGGTTTTTCGCATCCCCGCCTCACCAGGGGCTTGGGTTGCCTGTTGGCTCAAATGTGGTGGCAGTTGGGAGTTGCTCGGGGCTGCTTTCATTTTGGTTGGGTCTTCGGTTGGCTTCGATCTTACTGCGGGTAAGTCTTGGGCTCAGCAAAGGGCTGACATGTCAGCCCTTTGCTGTCCCTGAATGAACCCCAAACCTAAGATCTGAGGCAGCCTAAAACCACCCATAATGAAAGCAGCCCCGAGCAACTCCCAACTGCCACCGCATCAGAGCCAACAGGCAACCCAAGACCCTAGGTGCAAGTGAGCCTGGTGATGCAGGGCACCAACTGACCGACCAACCGACCAACCGACGAACCGACTGACTGACCAACCAACCAACCAACCAGCCAGGGAACCAGCCCTAAGAAAAAATCCGGCCCTAGGAAGACAAAAACACCTCATCCGGGCAACGTGGGGTGCGTATCAAAAAAAATGTGGTTTGCTTTTAGGCTTTCCTCGAAACCAACCCCAAAAAAGGGTACCAACTCCAAAACAACACAAGCTCATCCTCGAAACGAACTACTGAAGTTTCTACAGGAACTGGGCCACCACCAGACCCAAGGATGTCTAGACGTTTTTCCTGCAGTTAGCTTCTCAGAATCGGCTCCTCGCCAGGCCGTCATGGGCGGCTTTGAGTGCCACAGCTGTCCAGTTCGCTGCGCGCATCCTGGCAAAATTGGTCGAAGGCTAAAAGCAAGGGTCAATATACATTAGAAAGGATGAGTTGATACCTTAATATCACGTTTAGTCACTGGCAAATGTCTCACTCGATGAAAGGACCAAAGTAAGGTCCACCTTTTGGAGCCTCGACTAAAACTGAACCCAAGTTGAAAAGCCAAAAGGTCAAACGTTTCATTTGCTTTGAGGTACTCTTTGCCCCTTAGAATCAGCCTGGCGGGGTAAAAGGGAGTGGGTTCCCTTCAAGGTGCTCCGGATTCCGCAATTGGGGCTCCCCCCAATCAGAATCAAGCAGGGGTTGAGACAAGCTGAAAGCCTTGTGAACACATCGATTCAGAGTTGCAAGCTGTTCCGTAGCGACTAGAACAGATTTTTGAGCGGTTATGTGTACAGCAAGCCTATGTACAGCAAGGCTTGATGCAGCTTGCCTCTACACCCGAAACCACCACAAACCCTCCGGCCCCAAATTCAGCTGCACTCCGTTCTGCTCCGAGAATTCCTGCACGGCTCGGCACACACCGGGCCACAGGAGGCTGTAGTCATGGCCCGCCAGCACTCCAAAGCGCCGCACCTTTGGCAGCCAGGCATGCAGATCAGCCCTGGCCAGGGGCATCTCGATGCCCTCCCCCTATGGAACCTGTCTGTTGAGAATACCCTTTCACTGGAAGGCCAAAGCTAAACCAAATGGAAGTCAATTTGAAACCAACAGGAAACCCTTCCCTTCGAGGCCAAGATGTTACCACCCCTTCTTGCGCTTGCGGCCTCACGGCTTCATACCCGTGGTTGGCGTCTAGGAAGACCAGGTCCAGAAGTTCCGGCGCCACCCACTGAGCCGCCACCACACTCTGCGCCTCCGGCGCGAGCGCCCGGGAGCCGCCGGGAGCCGCTTGTGGAAAATGAACGAAAATGAGGGACACTTACATAGCTCCATGTACCTTTCGTTTGGTTCGCGCGTCGACCAAGAACTTCTGAAGTAACAAGCTAGCCATATCTGGCTCATAAACATGCGCCTCAAAGGAACGCCACTATAAATTGACCAAAAGGTGGGATGTAAATCCAGCGGGAGCCCCCGGCCTTCAGCAGCCAGCTGCGGCCTCGGAAGGGCGCCATGCGCGCTTCCAAGGCCTCTGCCGCCGCTGCCGCAGCCGCGCGGTCCTCTGGACCGGAGGACCGCGCGTGGATTTTGGGCGCCACCCGGGGGGGAGGGAGAGTTTTGGATTTGGCCCGTTGGCCCCGACGACAAGTGGCTACACATTGAGGTCCTCCAAATTGAGCTATTGTCCTGCTTCTGGTCAGTCTTTGCAAGCGATTACTCGTTACGCAGCCAACACCCTACAACCCTCCGCCCGTCTTCGTAGAGGGAGTGCTGCTGGAAGTATTCTTCATCTGCTGCGTCAAATGGGTCTACTAGCAGCATCTCCTGGCAGACATGCAATCCGCTCGAACATCGCGCTGTTCCGTTTTCATCCTTGAGAATTCCCGCGTACACAAAGACACCGCGCAACGGCAACATTGAAGAGAATCGCGTGCTTCCCAAAACAAATTGTTTACAATGACATGTTTGTTGGGTTCCCCTTTCACCACTATCCAAACAGGGAGGTCTTCTAGGTGCCCTTTTGGACAAATCGATGAACTAGCACCAAACTGAAATCAGTGACGTCCATCTATTTCCAAGCTGACCTAAAGGACAACTATGTCGACATGTCACTGGTTTCAACATGCTTGAATGGGTGTCGCTCGGTTTTGGAGGGTACGCGGTACGCTTTTGGGGGTGCTTTAAAGGGAAGCCTGGTCCTATTTTGACACAATCACAATTATGGACAGAGTGTCACAATATGGGCGGGCTTCCGCAGCACTGCCGTTCACGTCCGCGCGCATGAGCTGCTTCCGCGGCTGGGTGTGGGGCTTCTTGTTCAGCTTGCTGCAACCAACGCAAACAGCTATTGATACTACGTTAATGGCACTATAAACAGCCGCAGCTGATCACGCAATCCAACTGGTCAAGATAGCATGTCAGTTACAACATTCACACCAAACAACTCAATCCTCCTCCGAATTCCGCATTAACAAACTCGAGCTTCCGCCCGGTGAACCATTCCTTCCGCAGAGTCCCATTTGGCACCCCAAGACAAAGTTGCTTCGCATAAAAGTTTGATCGCTGCTCAACTAAGGGAGCCTCAAAAATCCACCGCCAAATATAGGGACCCCCCCAACCCCAACCCAAACCTTTCCCGGTCGACGGAAACCGCCCCAACCCGCTGGACCGACGCAACCCGACGGTAGGCTCCAGGGAGCTGAGCTGCGAGAGCAGCAGCTCGGCAGTGCGGCCCTCAAAGACACCCACCTGAAAAATGGGAAAGAAAAACCAACCGAACTCTGCCCTTTTGGGGTCAACCCTATTTTGACACAAAACCTGGACTTTGGAACCAACCGAAATCTGTACTGCTGTTGTTGTTTGTTGGTGTTCAATTCTTGTTCTTGTTTTAATCAAAGCGCTCAACCCGATGATGCGTGGCTTTCAAAAACAAGTCAGGTACAGTGTCTCCCCGCGCCAACCTAAAAGTTCTGGGTAGACCACTTGACACTTTGACTAAGGCTCACATTGTAAAAAATCACCGCCAAAACATGCCGTTTCCGGAGTGGGCATGGGAAAATGGGGGTTCGTCCTCAAATTCACATGGAAACCACAAAGCGGTCCTGCAAGTGGGACTCAACCGCACCTCTGCAGAATAACATGGAAATTGAAGCCACAGTTGTTCGAGGTCTTCTTGTGTGAGGCCTTCAGAAATGGGTTCCATCTTAAAATGGTCTTCCAGGGCCGTCAGCAAGCCTCCATGCTGAGAGCTTAGTTTGATTCCCATCCGCATTACTTCATCACTTCAAAGCGGATTCCTCAAGGGAATCACTGAGTGACACGGTTTAGGCTTGGATTCCCATGCGAGAGATTGCCCGCTATCCACAGCATGACTCACTGTCAGCAAGTGGGCCCAAGAAACAATCGTTGTCTGTATCTGCACCTTAGGGGCCAATGAGTGACCCAGAACTACCCTCTGCTTTCGCCCAAATTGCAATGACTTTGACTCCGAAAAACTGGCCAAACTGTCAGGAAGTACCCTTTAGCGTTCTCTCTCTATCCCTCTCTCTCTCTCTCTGTCTCTCTCCCCCTATGTCCGCACCTACTTAGTTGAGGACCCGTCCGCATGGAAACCTCCATCGTTTGGCAAAGTGGATCCCCAACTCCGGTTCATGTGCGATCCAACCAAAAACCCACCAAACCCACCAGCCCGAAACGGGCGATTTTTTTTGCCAGCTCCAAAGTCTTGCCCCCACCTCCGCAGCCCGCACCTTCGAGGCTGCCTCAGCCCTTCGCCTCACACGGGACGTGCCAAAACAGGGCGAGGGGGGTCCCGGTTGGCTTCGCTTTAGACAGGGTACACTCAGAAGGGCACGTGAAGGTTCCCTAATCCTGAGACACAGCCGATTTAGGCGTGGAGTTGCCCGTATGCCTTAAGGGGATGTCCCATATTCGCACAAAGGAAATCCTTCTCTGTCTAAGAAGCTAATCTGGCCTGTTCATTCAGCAGGGGTCGACATTACCAGGAAGTGTGACAAAAGTTGAAATATTACCGCGCTTAGGAAATCCGCCGCTATTCCAGGTCACAACATACCTCCAGAGATACAAGACGGCCCCTCTGCCGCGCGTAAAGCTACTTTAAGAGACGAGCTTGACCTTCGTTCGTGCGCTGGCGCGAGGCTCGAGCCTCGGGCTCGTGTTCAAACGGCCGACCCCGCTCCCCCGCGCCCCCTCCGCCTCAGAAGCGACAGCAAAACCTCCGCATAGTGTGCGCCCAGGGAAGAGTGAAAGGCGATACTCCCGGTGAAGCGGATCTGCTCGGCATGGAGCCGCGACATGCCCAACTTGGAGAAGTCCGAAAGCCCCCTGAGAGATTGCGTTTGGAAAATTTGAGGACCCTCCCCCCGTTAAAAAAAAAAAAGAAAAAGAAAAAAGCGTCTTCCGTTTGTAATACCACACAAGCGGTGTACCCTCCACAAAAAGACACACCCGTATGTTCAAACTGGAGAAGAGGGTACTCTCAAAGGTTAGTTCGACAACCTCTGGATTGTTCTTCTTGTTTCTGTTTCTTCTTTTGTTCACGTGACTTAAACATCTCTTGTCTGCACAACCTCCTTGAAACGGCTGGTGTTTTAAACAGTTTTTGGCCAACCCTGCCTAGCACACTCCAAGCTCTCGTGGATGGCAGGTACACACCCCGTGTGCAAGAGGAGCATCTCCAAATGGGCGCAGCCGGGGATGTACTCTCTGAACCTCACTTGCCCAAAGGATCTGGGAAACAAAAAGTTAACCTTGTGGGACACTAAGTTTCAGTTGAGCTTTTAAAAACCAACCTCAAAGTAGGCAAACCAAAAGAATCAAGGAGGAACTCCACGGTTGTCGCCAGCTCCCCAATGATTCCTCGCAAAGTGTCCGTGCTCAAGGTGGGCGCGATATCTTTGGCGCCAAATACGAAGGCCTCAAGGTGGGTCAGGCCTTTCTTTGGCAAAGAAATGGGTCACAACTTACCTACTCATCTGCCCCCCTCTTCAGGGATTCCCTTGTCAAGTGCACCAACTGATTCTTGGGGTGCAAAGAGTCTATCAACCACCCAGCCAAACAAAACCAAACCAAACCAAACTAACCCGAACCAAACCAAACCAACGGCAACCTACCCTTCCACCAACCAACCGGCAACCCCTGCCTCCAGGATTGCCAGGAGCTCCTGCTGCAGATGAGGCGCGAAGCACAGGCCCTGCTCGCAGTCACCTCCCAGACACATCATGGCCAACTGCCCCGCGTCATGCGTCAGAGACGTCAGCAGCTGAGATATCTGGACCACCTCTCACGAAAAAGACAAAGGGCAAGAAGGAAGTTTCTTAGAGGTTCTGAGAACCATTCTGCTTTTTCCCCAATGGTTTGCCCTCCCCCTTTTGTTGGTCTGGATTTCGGTGCAGGCTTTACCTGACCTCCAGAAATTGTGTGGATTCGCCTTAAACCAAACCGAAAAGGCACCTGTGGACCATCGACTTCGTCCAGCAGCGCCGCAGAGGTCCACCAAAGGGAGGCGTTGTACGTCCAGCGCTGCACGTCGAAGGCGCCAGCTGCGGCGAGACACGCCAGGCATACCAAACACGCCAGCCGCGCCCGCATGAGGCACGCAAGCCGCCATTGGCATGAATTCTCGATCGCAGGTGAAACTTTGAGTGGGACATTTGTGATGAATCCCTCACCCTAAAAAGCCGAAAATGCGAGGGCCTGGCAGAAAAAGGCCCTTGGAATCAATCTCGAGTGGGAATCGACATGGGGACGCATGTCTGCCATTTTGGAGGCTGTCCCAACCGTCCAATTCATTGACACGTGACAGGTGGCTGGCCCAAGACAGACTCAGCCGCTTGAGTCAGAGACGTCACCTCCAAGCAAGGAGCCTCACATCTTGGCAGCCCACACATGCAAGTGCAAGGCATGGCCAAATTCAAGGGGCTCTACACACTTTTCAGTGTCCAGGTTAGACGATGTCCCCAAGAACGTTGCCAGTCACCACAATTTGGCTTGGACCGTGTCGGATCCATATTCTTCCACCTTCTCCTTGGGGGGAATCCAAGGTCCAAAAATCAGGGGTGTGCAGGTCTACTGGGTGCTGTCCTCGACAGGTCGTACAGTGCAAGGCCACCGTTGACATGACTCAACGCCTCAGCTCTCACTGCGACTAGCAATTGAGAACTGGCTATCAGCTTTTGATGGTTGGAAGACCCTCTATGTAAACGGAAATGACGTCCAGGCCCCTCAAATTCATCCGCATGTCGACCGAGCTAAAGAACAAATGCCGGGTGGTCAAATCGGCCCAGCCTTGTGGACCCCACCAAAACGGGTCTCAAAACGGGCAAGTCAGCGGATCTCTGAGGCTCAGCACCGTGATGTGCGCTGCGGCGAAAATATGGTGCCTAGCTGTGCGACTGGGCTGGAAATGTTAAATGGCCACTCAAAATGTCTTATTGTCCCAGTGGACCCTTTGGCACACATCATTTGCATGCGGATGTCCATCAATCCAAAGTCTGTTCCCAGTCTTACCCTTTTGAAAGCCATGGCCGAAAAACGGCGACCCTCCGGTGATTGAGATGATCAAGCCGATTGCATGGCCAACTTTAAAGGATCTAACAATATGTTCCCCCGGAATTAAAGGACGGAGAAACTCAGAAAAATGGGCTGGGCTGTCCTTTAGCTTCCCTTTCAATCCTTGGCGTGGCTCGAATCGAGGCACGGAGCGAAGGTCTCGAACTGGGACCACAGGTCCGCGAGGTCGTCCAGGACCAAAATCTGGCGACGCGGAGGTTCGGGAAAAATACCGCGTAAATGTCCAGTCCTTGAAATTGTAGTAGAAAACGCGTGAAAAACGGCCATTTGACCCCAAGAAAAAAAGTCGCAAAAAAACAAGACACACAATTCATAACGCAAACTCTACGATGCACTTTGACCGCACACTGCGGAGCTGCTTTCCCCCCTCCCCCCTACCCTCCAGGGCAGTGGCATCTGCAAGGTCCATGGCTATGACGCGGTGGACCTGGCTCCAATCCTCCCACCACAAAATTTGGAAACCTTGTTTGTGTGTGTGTGTGTGTGCGCGTGCTTCTTGAGGGTACCCTGTCGTGGCTAAAAGGGAAACCAAAATAAAATCCACCAAAATGGGGATGAACGGTTCCCGCAATGTGCCTTTTCCTCGAAGCAAGTCGTCCCCTTTACGTTCCGTTCCCTTGGTGCAAGTGAGGATGCTTGAGCCAAGCAGGAATTGGGCCATCTATGTTCACCCAACTTTACCAGGTTGTTGGTGTGGCTTGCCGAACCCAAAAGTGGAAAGCAACCAAAATGCGGGGCCGCCTCTAGTCGGATGAAAAAAGCTTGCAAAGTCCCCCCCGCCCCTCCCCACATCCCGCACCTCGTCCGGCAGCAGCTCGTGGCCTGTTGTTCAGGCCCAAGAGGATCCCCTGGTTGTTGTGGCTGAAATCCAGTGATGTTTTTGTGGTTGAAATTCAGTGTAGTATGCTGGAGTATTCCCCACAAGTGGTAGGGAACCCTGAGATAGCTGGGGTGCTAGGTGGAACCCAAAATGTGGGGGGTGTCTTCTATTTGAAGACAACCCCATGGAGATCATGGGCCAAACCGAACTGGTCTGCCCGGGTGAAAATAAAAACAACGCGGATATCCGCACCCAGTGGTTGGGACTCCCTGGGCTTTGATTCTGCTTTCCCTATTCTCGAATGCCCTTCAAAGGCCCTGGCTGCTGACCCATGGGCGGTAGAAATCTGACAATATCACCAGCAAGGCACCCTCTTCGTGCCAAGAACCCAATCTCACCCAAGCGTGCCACGCTCACAAATGAAGCGAGCAAGTAGCGCTTGACCTGCAGCTGGCCAGGTCCACCCCATACCATAGTCAGTCAGTCACGTCTAATTGGTTCTATAAATTGTATGAGAGGTTCATGGCTATCCCTACCAACCCCAAATAGAATGGCCTCTCCCCACCAAAGTGGATGTTTCGGTGGCACATCTGGCAACTTTGAGGCTGCAGCCAATCTCGTTCACGTCGCACTCGGCAGGATATTGGCCTGGAGCTCAAGACCCGAGCTGAAGTCGGCTTCCGGTTCTGGCGGTTCCTTAGGCCCGCGCTGATGAACTGCCGAAAGCTGGGGCTTTTGGTGAAGTCCTGCCATAGACAAGAGAGCGCAAAACCCGAGCTCACTTTGCTTCTAAAGATGCAAAGATCAGAAGATAGACCTCGGTATGTTCTCTAGGAAACCAATGTTTAACCCTTTACGCCGCAATGAAAAAAGACTAGAAATGAGGTCTGTACAAACTCTACGGAACATGGCAAAGGCCGGGGTCAGCACGCAGACCGAATCAATAGACCTGTATTGGGAGGATTCTACAAGACCTCGAGTGATGCTTGGTGGGGGAAAGCTGCAGCCAGAACTTCGTGTCGACAGATCGGATCAATCAACTTGCTGAATTCTTTAGGGCCCCTTTCTCCAAAAAAAGGATCGCCCCTGGAGGGGTTCTTAATCCTGGGACGACACTACCAAGGAGCCCCAAAACTCCCCTCAATCCGTCAATGCCAGTCCAGGTACTCAAAGGTCAGCCACGACACTTCCTTCATCTTGCCTGCCCGTTCCTTGCCACTCAAACCACAAGGCTCCCCTGACAGGCGCAACTATCCCTTCAAGTTGATTGAATCAATACAATCCATGGTTAAATATGAGTTTGCCGTGGAGACGACATGGAAACACATCTGACCCCTAGCTTTTCTTTGGAAACTCAGTGCCATGCTCCTCCCAAGTGCACCAACGCTGCTTGATATTTCGATCAAACCTCACACGGAAGATACCAAGCACAAGATCCACAAGAGAAGGGTAGTCCGGGTCTCGGATTCGGCCAGTAGATCAATTTTGGAGGTTTTTTTCTAGGGGACCAGAAAGTGTCTAGTTGCAACCAACCCGCCGGTCACACTCTCGGCCGCCGGCCAAGTCTCGCAGGTGGGCGCGCCAATCCTGCGCGCGAAAAGGCGTTCCAGCGCGTTCCCTCCGTTCCCTTGGCCCGCGCCCAAAGGGATCCATCAACCGAAGGAGTCCATTGAAACAAACCCTCAAGCCATGCCCAAAGGACCCGGAAAACAAAAGGCTCTGGGGGCACCAAATATCGACCAGTTCCAGAAAACCACAAGGTCCAAAGGTTGCCTTTTGGCAACTAAGAAAAGGTAGAGGATGGTTTAATGCCAAAGGTTTATGTCCACCGACCAGGTTGGAGGGTGTCGAATGGGCCCGTTCCAACTTGGCTACCAGTGGATAATAAGAAAAACCCTAAACAAAGTGCCAAGCCATGCAAAACAATGCTCAAGTCACTGATGGCGTGCAACGAATTCCTGAATGCCATGCAAAGGTCATGCTACCCATACACCCCACACAGATGTCTGAAGGTCATCAATGACAACATCCGGTTCGGACCATGCATCAACAGCACAAGCAGTTGAGCTTGTTGTACGTCCCTATTCAGTGAAGGCAGCGCATGTTGGATCGGAAGACTTATATACCGCACTTCAACTCAGGTGAGCACTTTCTGGCCCGCCTTCCGTGATACTGTGGACGGGCCAAATCCTACACCAGCTGGTAGGTGGTATCCAAGCATAGGGTTTCATCCATCCCCACCAGTGCAAGACTTTTATCCATCAGGGCACATTGGAAGGCGGAACCTCAAAAGTGTTGACCAACCAGGCAGAAAGGCCATCTCCGTTGCCAGCCATTGAAGTGAAGGCATTCCAACCACGTCTCATAGCAAAGCAGTGACCAAACGCCTTTTTCGGTTGGGAAACCACAAGGAAACCCACCATTTAATTTCAAGACATTGGCTTCCTCAAAAGTCGTTGCCCGCGACCGTACCCTTCCCCAAGAGAAACACCACCAATGGTTTACCAGACATAGCGTCTGACAGTCTGATATGGATTTGCATTGGAATGAACAGATGGATTTGCATATGGCGCGGCGACTCTGCGCTCCCGAGCCCGTGGCCTCCAGGCCAGCAGCATCGCCCACCACGAAGAGCCGCAGGGGCTGCGACCGGCGCCTCGCGGGGAGGTGCGGGGCTGGTTCCATTTAAAGAGAAAAACATGTACAGTGACAGGTACAGAGACATGGATGGTGACCAAAACCAGGTCCTGAAAGATCTCTTCAGAAAGAGAATTTTGTTTGGGTTTCCATTCTAAACAGCCATCCAAATGCCCCAAAAAGCATCCGGAGTCATGAGCGGAAAACCGGCTTTGTTTCAGCCTACCTTACCCTGCCCAGGTTTCGGTTGTGGCTCTGGCTGACCGAACTGGAGATGTTGACCGAAATCCCAAGAAGGGTGCCCTCAAACAAGCACACAACCCAAATGGCTATGAATTTCAATAGGGAATCACCTCCAAAGTGACTGGTTGGTGGACATGCATCCCCACCTAAATGATGTCCACCAAACGGGCTCAAATTAACAGTTTCCAGGATCCCCCAACCACACACACCCGCCCCCCCCCCAAGCACACCTCCAATTTTGAGGGAGTGTGTTTAGGGGTGTTGCGTCTCAGTGTGAGTTTCAAGTGGCTCACAAGATGGCACCAGCGGCACCTCAAGATGCTCCAAAGCGTGGTAAAGCCCAACTTGGCAGACTGACCTCGGCGAGTTTCTCTTCTTTTTGCGAGCCTCTGGGTGTCAAAAAATCGGGATTCGGACTCTCAAAATGGCAGTAGGCTTCTTCTGGTCTCAAGAAACGAAAAGCCGTGCTAAAAAACGAAAGGGGTGTAGCCAAAATCTGGCATTGAGTTTCAACTCACTACCAGCCCAAAAGAAGCGAAACCCAACTTTGGCACTCGCATGCAGCCTACCCTGATGAACAGAAGCGGGATTCGGTGACCAAGCATCTTGCCCAAGTTGAGCACAACCATGTTGATCACATCACTCCTGAGTCCGAGTTTCAGCTTTGCGAGCTCAAAGCACAATAAACGACCCGGCCAGAGGTTTGCCAGAAGCTTGAGGGCCAGACGCATTCACCTTGACAACTCGCTGTACGGTCGCCTCCTTCCATCGATGCATCAGATTCTTTCACACAAGGAACATGACAAGTCTGAATTTCAGTTGAGACTCCGAGTCATGGCTCCTAGTGCACGTCAAAGGTAGTTCCCTTTGAAGCATCCGACTTCATGGCGGACCCTGTTTTGGTTGGAGCTTGAAGGGAGTCAAAGGGACACCTATTTTTAGGCTCCCCAGTTCAGAGAAACCAAACACGCCTGCAAAGGAGGGATGGTGTTGTACGCGAGCTCGTCGTGCTCCCGGACCTGGGTACAGGCGGCGGGTTGTCTCACCCCTTAAACTTGCCAAACGGGGGGGGGGGGGAGAGGGTTACCCAAGAAAGATCCTTTGCCAACCAAAAGCGGGGCCATCGCTCGCTTTTAACAGCTGCTTTTTTTGAGCCCGAAGCCGTCATCTTGTAGTAAGACATCAAGACCTCATCAAAGTGGTCCGTCACCTTGCCGGCAACAGTTCGATGGACCCTTTGGTTGACATCAGAAATACATTCAGATCCATGTCCAACGACCATGTTTGAAGGTAAGGAGCATCAAGATTGGATGTTGCATCAGCTCCTACAACTTCAGCCGCTTGCTTCCTTTATTGCCACTTCTTGACTCGAAGAGCGCTTCCTGCAGAGGAATCCTCTGAGAAAATCCGGGATTCCCTGCCCCAATTTCGCCCTTCCAGTTGGGAGCAACTGGGAATCACGGCGCCTCCTCAGGATCCACTTCGGGGAAGGACCGGCCGGTGTTCACCTCGGAAAATCCCTTGGCCGGTCCGGGGATTAAGGAACGAAACCGTAAAAGTGAGAAGGAAAAGGTGTAAAGTCTGGCAATGGAAGGAAGCGTACATCTACATACAGGGAGAGTGACTGGACCCCTGGTAGATGCAGCCCGTCTTCAGCTTGCGATACTTGCATGGGACATGAATCCTGCACCCGCATTGGAATCACTTGAGGTGCCAAATCAAACTGCAACAATGCTAACTTCCGACATGAGCCCAGTAAAGAAAGATGATGGCTCGCGGGAACATGCACTTCTGTTTGATGACTTGGTGAACCGACCAGGTACTGTGTTGACAGCCGCACCTATCTACGGTTGAACCCGTCCCCTCCTAACCTACCGTCACCTGGCGCCATGTCTGGGTCATCAGGCTTGACTGGGACAAATATGCTTGCCACCAAACATCGGAGCCCAAAACCTGTTGACTTTTGATTCTCAAACGGTTAAGGTTTAAGTAGGCCTTAGTAAAACCCCAATGAAACCAGGCAGTAGAACCACCTTCTAAGATGGCCGACGGGGGTTTTGGACACTGCTCAGCTAGTTTTGTGGGCAAGCTTTGCAGGAGCAAAACTTTCCGGGGGATAGGGGTGCTCGCAAGAGAAAACCAAAGCCCCCGCCCCACCAAGGACTCGATCCCTTTCAGAAGGGTGGGGTGACGCGTTTTGGGGTCGCTTTAAGACTTTCGTTCTACTAACATGGTTAGGAAGCTTTGCGTCGGCTTGGCTGCCCCAATTAAAGCAGGTAGGAACCCAAGCTTTGACCCACCCCAGCCATCAACTTTGCTCCGTGCAGCCAGCTTCGCCAGGAGATATGCCGCGAAGGCCTCACGAAGGATGGGATGTGTGGGGGGAAACAAACCAGGGTACCCCCCTCTGAGGGTGAGTGTCAATAGGCGTTCCCTTGGGGGACGTGATACGGGTGGGACAAAAGTCCAGCAGCCACTTTTGAGTTTCAAGATGCATCATATAAGTATCAACTCCATCTTCCCCAGAGTAGTGGAAATTCTGGAGAGCTGAGCCGACGTAAACAAACTGTCATCAAAAAGGTCTCAAAAACAAGCAAGTGGCCCTTCAACACATCGACACTTCCGCTTGAACTGACCGCCTGCCTCCAGCCGCACTGCTGCTTTGGCAAGGTGGCGACTGGTCCTGAGTCTTTCAAGCGGGAAACAGGCAGGGAACGCAACGTCAAGTAAGGTGCAGTGGGTGCATAGGACATCCAATGTCCTATGCACCCCATTGCGCAAAAACATGAGAATCAGAACATGAGGCCTCGACTGCTTGGCACGAGGCCTGAGCTTGGCAACTATGGCTATCTTCGTTTGAGCCTTTTCCTCGTTTGGAGACACGCGCATAGTAGGATTCCTGAAGCGAACGCTGTCCACGGCCGTTCTGCTCGACAATGCATTGGGACTTGGGAGGTTCGCAAGGCTGACTTCAGCATGGAGGCAGCATACCAGCAGAAAGTCGGGTCTGACTGGGATGGATCATCTCCGTGGTCTCAGCTGCACTCTGCCAAACAGATGATAGCCAGTGCACAAAGAGGTACCCGCACCTGCAAACCACCAACCTAACCCAGTACGGCTTTCCTTCGTATTTTATCTCAAGAAGATTTGATGGTTCTTCCCCAAACCTCTCAATCCAAGGCCTCGAGTTGTCGGACTTTACACGCATTGGAAATCATTGGCTATGTGCTGTTCTTTTTGTTTTTGGCGGGGGCCTTTTCCGAAACCACAAATTAGGGACGGTCGCAAGGTGAGGCTTTGGCCCACTCGCCCAGCTCAGCGCGCGACAGCAGCTCACGGGTAATTTGGGCCTCGGAAAACGTGCCGGTCTGATCGGCCTGGCAATATCCCTCTGTGCCATCCGACCCATTGAATATTTTAATTTTAGAATTGTTCGGGTGCTGCAGACATGATTGTCTTTTGGTGCAAGCTGAAACCCTTTTATTGGAACCTGAGAAACGGGTCCCCTGATTTGTAGCCTATCGAACATCCTGTTGTCGAAGCCCGCCGAACATGTGCCCTCTTTGAAAGGCGGCAGAAACACGAAACGGATCTGAAAGCATAGGCACACTTCATCAGGGGAAGGAAGCCTCTATGCACTAAACTCGGTACAGCTTTCAAATCGTTGCTGAGATTGAAGAAGGTTCATACTATGTCCCAGTGCCATCCTGGTAGTTGAGGCAAGGGCTGAAGAAAGGTCACACATAGCCATTGCCTCCTGTCCTTTCTGACACTCCGAGAGCCGCGCCATGGGCTGCAAAGTGTCCGCGGCGCGCTTGAAGTCGTCCTTCAAGGAATCCGCCTTTCGGGCGAGAGGGATGGCCCGCGCGAGTGTTGCAGATCCAGATCAGCTTTCCGGCACTGACCCTGGATGAAACAACCTGTCAGATTTGGGGTTATTCGTTTACGCCAAAGGTGACCCGGAACCCTCCAATCAACCAGTCTTTATTTAGTTATCCTTCCCATTGACCTCCCGTCCACATGGAACCCACCACAGGCTTGGTCCTGTCCAAGCCATGACGGACGCCCCAGCGTTGGCCTCCATGCACGCTGAAGCAGCTGTGGTGATCTTGGCCGAGAGATGCAAGCGGAAAATTCCGAATGCTCCCCCAACAAACCACAAAAAAAAGAACAAAAAGGTGTAGGGCCCCGAGTCTCGTGGAAAAGTTGGGGGGCGCTCGTTTCTTCTTGGCTCTGCTTGGCCACGCGGGCACTGTCCGAAGCTGACTCAGCCCCAGGCTGCCAGCATGCGCCAGGCAGACTCCAAGGTGTGGTCGAAGTCCATCAGCACCCTGCAGGGTGCCACTTGGCGCCACATCCATAGTGACATCCTCAAAACCCTGTCCTGGTTTACGTGAAACCAGTCCCCCAAAAAAATAGAATTCGGAGAACCATGCAAAAGGTGGCTTATCCTCCAAATCTAAGGCTGATTAGGTCCAAAGAAGAAATTTGAGAACCCCAAAAATGGCTTCCTTTGAGGGACCCAAGAATGGCTTCCTTTGAGGGACCCAGCACGAGGCCTGCAAAGAACCGGGCTGAAGATACCGGAGGCCGATGCTTTTAGGCAGCGCCACATAGGAGCAGGAGAAGCAGGAGAAGCAGAAGAAAGAGGAGTAACAGGAGCAGATAAAATGTCAGATTGCCTGCCTCTCGATACCGGCAATGACGTAGGCACGCTCCTTGAAGCTGCAAGGTCTTTGTCCACGGACTAATCAACCTGTTTGATGAATATGTGCCAGCTTTCGCAAAGAGTGGTCCGGATACCTCATTTAATGAACACCCCATACTTGTCTCAACCAGGGCTTTTGAAAAATCCGTGTCAAAGCTGCCCTTCAGAGGGAACCGATCACCTGATGTGCCTTTGCGCCCAAAAGGAACTCATCTTGACACACACACACACACACACACACACACAGGGCTCCAACATCACCCCAAGAAGTCAAAATAGCGATGCTTCAATTAAGAAACTGGTACTGCTTGGCACCCTTTTCTTGGCACCCTGTTGCTGCTCAAACAAACCCACACCTCAGGCCGGAGGAAAAAACAAAAACTCCTGCTTTCCAGGCTTCAGGCGACAAAACTCCGGGCCCCAGCCCCACCCCACCCATCCTCCGAGTCGGCTGAGAGCTTGGACGCCGCCACCGCGTTGAGCACGCGGAACACAAAGTCTGCAAATGTCGCTCGGAGGTGGCGGGAACCCTATCCCCCTGACATGTGACCCTTTGCGTCTTTCATGCCCTGTCGCTTGGACGAAAGTGTCCCGAGTCTTCAACATCTGGTTGAGTCTTGAAAAAAACACCTTTACTTGAGCAGAGGATTTTAGACATGGGAGAGTGGGAGAGGGAGCTGAGCTACAAGCAAAGGGAGAAAGGGAGGAACCTCTTTTTCTGGATGCCTTAAAAGGTGTTGTCTTTAAGAAAACAAGTGGTTCTGCTTTTAATAAGCCTTTAGCTGAATGCATAGGGAGGTGTCTCCCACCACAAAGCGATCCGGATATCAATCAACCAGTTGAGTCCGGCTGCCCATGACATGGAGATTCTCAAGCGGCCAGGGAGCGAATCCCATGCTGAAACACCGCTGGCCTGCGCGGTCTCTGGGTGCTCCACAGCAGTCCCTGCAGAAGGCCGACGCATTCCACCAAACACAAACAGTGCCGGTACCCGGGTCCTCAGAAACCACAACAAACAATTGGCCAACTTGCAGACGTGTCCACATGGTTTTTGGTTTTTGCTGGACCCTTTGGTGGCTACCGAGAACCTTGGGTATCCATTTTGCCAGAGGCGAGCCAAAGATGGGGTCACGCGCTGGAAGGCTAAGATCCACGCTCCCCGAGCCGGTCCAGGTATTCCTGATAGAGGTTTGACACCTCTCCAGCCATGGTTGTGGGCTCAAATTTCTCGTCACAAACCTGTGTTCCTTGCCTCAAATCGGTGACGAAGAAGGAACAAAGGTTTGTGAATCATAGTAATTGACATACCGCACATCAGGAATGCCGGCCACACAAAAGGCAGCCGCATGCGAAGAACGTGGCACTTCCAAAAGGGATCCGCGTTTATCCAGGCGAACGCCGGAAAGAAGCCGTGTCCTTTGGACACGTGAGCTGCAAATCCTCCAGAGGCACCACGTCAGAGGGAGGGCAGCAGGCAATCTGGAGATCGGCTGTGGGTCTGGCTCCCACACATGGCACTTCCCAACCCGCCAAGTGTCATGCTTCACCAGAAGCCAGGGGTTCCGGCAAGGTTTCTTGCGAACAATTTGGTAAAAGCGACCACTAGCAAATCCAACAGCTACACAAGCAGCACCAAGAAACATGATCTCATGGGACTGCATCATTGAGTCGTTCGTCGGCGGTGTCGAGGCAAAAATCAATAGCCAAGCGCGGCCCTGAACATTCCCCGGGATGCCCTAATCATCATGGAAGTGAACAAAATTCCTTTAAATTGGTACTTCAAAAGGGAGTCTCTGCCCTTGCACGTTGTTGGTGGGTATGTTCAAATTTTGCATTGCTGAAAACGTAGGCTGAGATTGCCGCATAGAGAACGAGCGTGGGGAAGCACTGCGACCCTGCGAACATGTGTCCTCGGGAAACGTCTTCCGCAAGCAGCAGCTGGGTTCAATGTTGAGGTGGGTGCTGCCCCTCCTCCCCCCGAAGCAAAAACTGGCTCTACCCATGAAGTGCGCAATTCAATGCCTTGACTTGCACCATCGCTTTGCTGTCAAAACTGAGACCCGAGCTTTCCGGGCCATGCTTCCGTCTTGCTCCATGTGCTGTTAGGCTTCCCAAGCTATTTATTGTAAGCTCCGTGCATTACAAATTTGATCGTCTCGGGAGCCTTGCCTTCAGTGCAAAGGTGGCAGGAGAATGGCAAAGATAACAACATCATGTGTGACTCAAACTCCGAATTGTACCATAGCACGCCTTGGGTTCTTGCTGGGATTGAGACTTCTCACTGCACAATGGCAATCTGCGTGCTGACAGGCGGGTAAGCAGGCGCAAGTTTCAACAAATCAGCTGTTTTGGCGGCACAAATGACCCCGTTGAGGGAACCTGTCGGTCTGCACAAGTGCCCATGAGAGTGAGAAATGTGAAACCACTTGTGACGTGGAAGCGGGCAACTAGTAAAAGTGCAATGGCTCCTTTGGAGCCCGCTCTGTTACAATGGGTTCTGTAGGCCATGCTGGTGGTGTCTTGAGACGCACTCAGGCAGGCCGAGGAACCTCGTGCCGCAATTCAACGGTATTTCATGCATTGCTCCGCGATGCGCGCGGAAGAGTGCCGACCGGCGAAAATGGCTCAGGCCGCCGTCGCGGTCTGACAGAGACTGCCCACAATGTTGCAAACAGGAAGAATGCAGAAAACCGCACGGACAAAGTAAACGAAGGGCTCAACGGCTCACGCGTGTGGAGCCCAAAAAAGGCTACCTCTTCACCCTCAAGTCGGCGCTGCTCTGCTTGGCCGCCGCAAGCCAGCCGACCACCCGCAGGAAGCCAGGAAGATCCAGCTGGTTGCCGCAGTCCATGAACAGCTTCATCTGGGTGTCTTTTTTGAGTACCCTTTGTGGGGTGGTTGTAAGGGGGAGCAACAGGAAACCCACCAACTTTGAGGTGCCCTCGAGAAAAACCCACCTGGCCCAGGATTGTTTTTGGAGTCTGCGACTCTGCTCAACAAGCTCAGCTATCCCAGCGACCAAGGCCACACCTAGCTGGCAAGAAATGAGCATGTCTGTGTGTGTGTGTGACTGGTCCATGGGTCTGTGCGTCTGTGCGCCTTTGTCTATGTGTCTGTGTGGCTATGTCTCTGTATCTCTTCCTAACTTCGTGTCTGCATTTGTGCGCCTGTTCGTCTGTGAGTCTCCGTGGCTTTGTCGGATTGTCTATCTATCTATCTATCTATCTATCTATCTATCTATCTATCTATCTATCTATCTATCTATCTATCTATCTATCTATCTATCTATCTATCGTCGATGCGTTCTGGCTCCTGTTGAGTAATATGCTTATTTATAACTACAACTGTCCGTTTTTCCGAAAATCAAGACAGGAACGAAAACAGTGCAAGCTTGAGCCGAAGTGGAATCTGGTACCAATTGGGGACCCAATCGAGATGGTCAATTCTTTGGAGGTGTGTTGTTTGACTGCTCAACCTTGCCTTGACCTCCTCCCGCTCGATGGGCGTCAGCGTCACATCAAGCTGGGCTAGGATGGTCCAAAGACCGTTGATGCTGAGGGTAGCCTGACAAGACATACAAGCTCGAAACGAATCCGGTACATCTTGTCACAAAACTGCCCCATAGCATCGTGCTGTGTTGCGGGAATGCAGCTGGCTGTATCAGAGCAGGAAGAATCCCCTGTGCCAGTTTTCCTCACAGCCTGGTGCTGCCAAGATGCTAAAATTGGTGTGGTTCTGAATACTGACGGGATGCGGTACAGTCTGACAAGCAGCAGTCGACAACGCGAGGAGAACTTTCAAATACAAACAAAATAAAGAGGTTTGCAGCACTCCTGGCTGCTTTGCGGCCAAAAGTGTTGCAAATGGAGGGTGGCCCTTGTACTGCAACATTCAGCAGCAACCTGCGACCTACCTGTGACACCGAGCCTTGGGGTCCCCACTCTTGCCCTTCTCTGCCTGCACGCCTGAGATCGGTCATGCAAGGCGCCGAGTGCTTGGTTGGAGCGATAGTCACTGACAAGCCAATTGGCCATGCCATAGCCTTTGCCACGAGAGCGGAAGAAGACTGGCAAAACATGGCCATGCTGCTACACCCCGTACCATATGTTGAAGGCACAAGGTTGCAACCATTCAATACATCTAGTGCTTTCAGTGCCTACACACGTTTCTCCCTTGCACTGCCCGATCCTTCATTTGAGCACTGCGCTGGTGGAATGTGCGCTGGCAAGGATTCGAGTTGACACTTGAGAAGCGCTGGCAATGGATCGAGTTTGTTCTACGGAGTACATTGGCCCAGCACCATGACCCCCTACAAACCAAAGCAATAGAACGCCCTTCTAAGTTTCATTGGCCAACATGTGCTGCTAATCTTGACTTCGGATTTAATCCTGAGGATCCTACTAATGAGGCGGCGTTTTCTCTAACCGACCTAATTCCCACGAGAAGAGGCAGCGCCCCTGACTAGGGAATTGTCCGAAGCTGACATTGCAAGTCGAGAAATGGTTTCATGTGGTCTGCTGATTAACAATGACTGACTGGCCGAACCAGCCGAGTCAAAAAGTCACAACCCCAGGCAGGCCGCAGGCGATCAAATATAGCCTGCACTAAACTCCAAACACCGTCCAGCTACAAACTCAGGAGGTTCATCCTCTTTGGGACCTGTTGGTGGACGTTGAGGCTCTTCCGATCACCAAAAGTGACAGGCCCCAGGATGTCTTGGGAGCAAACCAAAGACCCCCACCCCCCAACCGTTTTGAGGGGGTCCTCTGATACCCTCGGGCCCGATTTCGTCCCTGAGATTGTCCGCCGTCCATGTGGAGCCACCAATTAAGAATTACCTGAATATTGGAGGAGTTGAGGAGGGACCAAAAATCATGATGAATGAGAAGTGGAAGAGGCCCCCCCCCCTGAAAGGTCACTGGCAAAGCCGTCCATGAGATTCGCATTGTCCCTCTTGTCCGTTGTCAAAAACATGGGCGAAACTTCATATTATTCTACCTCAAGTCTGTTGCCTAAGCCTCTCTCTTTTCCTCCCACGCAGAGATCCAAACGCGATCCGGGCGCCGGCCAAGAACAACGCGGACAGCTCGTCCACCTCGTGCTGCGAGAAGCTGTTGGGTCCGGATCCCCGCAGCTCCTCCGCCCGCAGCTTGTCCTAAGCGAGGGGCGGTTGGGGGGGCGGGGTTGGGCGGGAAAGGGGGCTGGGGGGCTGGGGGTGCTGCGGCGTTCCTTCTGTCAAACTTATAAGAAAATTCCCAACCGTCTCAAAGAACCCCAATTGCAACTAAACCAAAAGATGGCAAAGTCATTCCCTCAGTCACTTTGCCAGTGAACATCCGATGCGCTGGCGTTCAAAGTAGCATTGGCTTTGAAAGGAATGTTCTCGCCGATAGGAAAAATCGCTTTCATGCACGAGTCTGCTGTTCTTTGGCACCATCCTACTGATACGCAGCGAGTCGGCATTCCTGGCGTGTTTCAAACCCTACCTCCTTTTTGTCCTCTTTCCTCTTTCCTCTCTCCTCTCTTCTCTCTTCTCTCTTCTCTCTTCTCTCTTCTCTCTTCTCTCTTCTCTCTTCTCTCTTCTCTCTTCTCTCTTCTCTCTTCGCTCTTCTCTCTTCTCTCTTCTCCCTTCTCTCTTCTCCCTTCTCCCTTCTCTCTTCTCTCTTCTCTCTTCTCCCTTCTCTCTTCTCTCTTCTCTCTTCTCTCTTCTTGCTCTCTCTGTCTCTCTCTCACTCTCTCTCCCTCTCCCTTTTTCTCTCTCTATTTCTTTGTTTTGTTATTTATTTGTTTTTCTTTCTTTCTTGCTTTCTTTATTTCTTCATTTCTATATTTCTTTCTTCCTTCCTTCTTTTCTTTCTTTCTATTTTGCTCTCTCTCTCTCGCTCTCTCGACTCCCTTTGATAATCAAAGGAACCATACTGCCCGTCTCTCAGAAAGCAGGTTGCGACTTTTTACATCCCAAAAAAAGAATCAAAGAGCACTTAAAAGGGAGCCTGAAAACGGGAAATGCTCATTGAATAGTTGGGTGCCGAACCCCTTTTCGGCAAAAACAAAAACAAAAAACAAAACAAAAAACAAAAGGGCTCGTGTTTTTTTCTGGAATTTGCCCTTTTCAGGTTGGTTTAAAGGAAACCAAAATGGTGGTACCACCATCTTGGGTTGGGGGTCCCTATATTGTCACACACACACTCCAAACAAGGGGAAGCCAAGTCTCCTGGTGAGTCTGCAGGATTCGCTGCAAATGGATAAAGACCCAAAGCGTGACTGCGGCAGAGTTGTCAGGCCCGCACTCCGCGCGAGGGACCTCGAATTGCGAACATGCGCCCAATGCCAAGCCAAACGGTTGTACTAGGATCAAAGTACCCTTTCTGCATTGTTCAACTGGTCGTGGGAGATTGTTGTGTGACCTTGCTAGTGAAGAAGGTGCTTACGATTGAAAGCGTCAAGACCGTTGGATGTCCTAGCATCAGCTAAGCTGCACGTACGTTAAGGAATGTTCTTGTTTCTATGACGACATGGGAATTTAGGGTTCGTACCCTGGTTTCTGTGGGTCATCCTCACACAGAATGCTTTGATTTGGTTTGTTTTGCTTTGCTTTGGTGTGGTTTGGTTGCTTGGTTGTTTGGTTGTTTGCTTGCTTACTTGGCTGGTTGGTTGATTGGTTGCCCTCGATTGGTTTGGCCTAGTTTGCTTGGTCGGTTAATAGCAAAGGATTCAAGCAAGTCACCGAATCTGCGGAAACAATATATGTAATAAAAGGTTATCGTACCATGAATTGACGACCCAGCAAACGTTCCAATGATCCGCGCCTCTTGTTGCCTGCCACCCACGACCAACACGGGTTCGTCTCCAATTGGCCCAGCATGACTTGATGTCCTTTCGTGTTCCTCCCGTCACCATTACCTACTTAACTAGCGAGTAGAACCCTTGACTAACTTAGCCAAGTGGTATTGTTCACTGCTCACTCGGAAACTTGTACATTGGCTGTCTAAAATAGCAACAAGCAATTGTGTGTGTGTGTGTGTCAGGGGTGTGTCTTTTTGTTGAGGGTCGCCTTTTCGCATTCAAGGGAAACCAAAGGACGCCAGCCATTTTGGGGATCGGTTCTCCTATTTTGAGACGGGTGCTTGGACCATACCACACATGGGTATGTCTTTTTGAGGGACCCCAAAACAGGCCCGCTTTCGTTTTGGTGTCCCTTCGAAACAACAAAAGTTGAAATTGGTACCACTCCAAAAAAAAAAGCCACCCCCAACAAATGCTCGCCAGGCCACACCACTCTGCAGCGCCATCCTGCGGGCATCGTTGATGAAGCTGAGAAGCTGCCTGAGACATCGCCGAATTTCAGGGGAGCTGCTGGTTTCCGGGCCTTCGGAGGTTTCGATGGTTTGGAACGGAACCGTCGAAGTCTCTCAGTGGTTTTCCAGCAGAATTTCCCCGACCAAGTATGCAAACTGGATGGTGTTGTCTCAACATGGGCTTGTCTTTCAAATGCAAACGGGGGTCGAGGTGTGCCCTCGCCAGCGTGTTTGCAGTCTCCTTTTGTCGTGCCGGCACCCTGTTTACACAAATTCATGTTGGTTTCCATTCAGAAGGGGACCAGGGCCCCAGAAAGAAGAAGTAATACTTTGGGCAAAAGGTGCGTGGCGCCGGGAGCTGCTTTCACTCTCTGGGTGACTGGTCTATCCGCTCATCATGCGACTGAGCCAGGCGTGTGTGTTCTTTGTGCCAGGAAGGTGTCTAATCAAAGTCATATGCAACTTACCCCTGTTGACCCCATCATTCCAACCTACTGACTGAGTGGATTGAACAAAAGTCTTCGCTTAAAAGCAGGGGGTAACTAGCGGAACGGCTCCAAACCAGAAAAGAAAACTCGCCCCACAACCCTGAGCAGGGATTGCTGGTCTGCCAACGTGGCAACCCTAGAAGAAGCAATCTTATTGAAACGGTCCTGCATCTTAGTGATAGCTACGGAAGACCCCAGGGGAGTGACTCCTGCAACAACAGCTCCGTTCATTCGACACCTAAAGATGGATGTGTCCGTCAAGGCAATACGTAAGCAGCGGCATGTACCCAGCATGTATGTAAGATGAACTTGATAAGTGTACTGAGTACTGTATGCACTCACTATGTTTGAACACTGCGACCGCCAGTTGTTGGAGCTTCACTATGAATGGGTCACATTGCGTTGCAGTTAAAATATGGATTCACAGTTTGTTGCAGTCAGAATATCGTCACATGCTACTAGAACACCCCCCTCCCCAGCGTTCAAAATCCAGATTCTAACTTCGATGGTTGACAAACAAGTATGCTATCTACCAGTCCGCCTCATGAAGCTGTGGCCAGAGACGGAAAGAAACCAACAAAGTAGCCAACAGTTGCTTTGTTTCAGTCGCCCCGTGGTTTCACATCATTACTCCAGAAACACAAAAGACGTAGATACATAGTCAGCTTGATTGGTCTCCAAAATGCACCAAGTCGAGTTGCTGCTGATCTCTCTTTGTAGCCAATGGAAGGCCTGCGGACGTGTCAAGAGGGGAGGAAGTCTCGGGAATGGGACCCTCGTCATCCAAACGGAACAAGAAACGGCAAAGGCAAATGGGCGTTTGTTTTGCCTTAGGGGTAGCAAAGTTTTGGGTGAAGGTTGGCCAGCTTTCAACAGATTTTGCAAGGTCCCGGTGGTTTGGCAGACCTTCCATATCTCACTCACTCAGGCCTCGATCCCTGCAAAAGATCACAAGCTCATTCTGAGCAATCTCGCCACCTGCGTCAGTTCAGTTCGCCTCCCGCAAAGCGAACCATGAAGGAAGGGCTGTTTCATTGGAGTCAAAGTAGCCGGGAAGCTAAAGTGCAAAGGAGCCGCACGCTGCCATGACACTGCCCTACCCTTCGCTCCAATCATGTCGCGACCAGCAACTATGAGTCCCCTGTCGCTGATGAACTCGACACAAATGCAAAATCCGAAAACCCCTCTCAACCACTCTCACCCCTCAGAATACCCTATCTCTCATGCTGGCAGGCTGCTGTCATCCTTAGATGCGACTGAGTCAAACAACAGATTTGGCCCCAGCACATTCACAAGGTGACATGATCAGTTGCTCCAAAGACACTTGCTTCCTCACAACTTTAGAAAGGGAAAAATGCTCCAACCGGTGACTCTTCATCGGGCAAGTTGCGCCTTACATTAAGCTGACATGACACATGAGGCTCCGCGCAGGCGATAAGTGGCCAAAAACTGTCTCCAAAGGATCCAGCAGGCCAAGGCTCATCATCCAGCGATCGGAAGAGCTTGGAAAACTTTGCCACAGCATCATCAGTGAAGCCCGCTTGCCTTGCTCATTCTGCATTGGAAATTCGCGTGCCATGGCAAACTGCCAAGTTGTCGAACTTGCTCTGAAAACTAATCCTCCGTTGATGAATCTGTTTCATCTGAATTCTTGACCACACCCCCATTAAGGTTTTCCGTTTGGGAACGGAAAACCAAACCGGTTGCGGCCCGGCTACTTCCGCATCTTGTTCATATTCATTCGCCTGCAGGAGTCCACCAGCAGCACCAAGGCATCGTAGTCCAGCGGTGCCCGCATCAGGCCCGAGAACAAATCTGGCGAAAGGGTGCCATGTGGGGAAGTTACTTTGGCCTCCAATGCAAAAGCCGGAAAAAGTCACTGCTTCCTCACCCTTCACTGAGAAAAAGCGCCTCTGTTTTTTTGATGTCCAGCTTCCCGGTGACCCCTGCCTGAGGTAGATTTCGCCACACTCTCCGGGTATCCGAGCCGGAACAGCACTTCCTTGGCATCCTTTGGCTCTATGGTGGTCTTGATCTCACCTGCCTTGGTGCCGCCCATGTTCTGCCGCTTTTTGTGACTGGGACGAGGGACCTGTCAAAATACGGCGACCCCGAAAACTGGCGGCTGTCCATTTATTGTTCCTTTACACCAACAAAAAAGAACGTATCCTCAAAAGAGGATACGCACCACCATGAACTTGTGCAGAGTCTCACCTACCACAGGGTGCAGCTGCATATTTTTTGGCCCACTTGATGAATCAGCCAATCTGCTCGTGGCTTTAGATGATTCCCCGTAGAGAAGCATGGTGGAACTGTAGCCAATGTTGATCCACCACTTCAAGCACTGGGTATGGCTTCTTCAAAGGCGGCTGTCCAAAGGCTATGCTGCCAAGAATCTTCGGTGACATTGGTCTCCGCATGCTTGTCAAACACTTGCCTCACACCTGGGTTTCAGCCAAACGACCCATTAGAATGTATGGCCTTTCCAACCCACTCCACCAATAAGACTCATGGCTTGTCTCCAAAATAGTTCACAAAGCAACCCCTTCGCAGAGTTTCCTTCAAAACGAAACAAATCGATGTGTGCCGTGGTCAAACTCCTTAGGTCATGGTCATGGGCTTGTGGCCACATAATCAGATTCTTTTGACCATGGGACACATGGGCATGTTTCAAAATGGGGGACACATGGGCATGTTTCAAAATGGGGGGGAAGCCCAAAATGAATGGTTTTCTTGTCAATTCCCCGTAAAGCCACCCCGAAAAGGGACAAAGCCTCAACAAAAGACTCCCCCGTATGAGCCAATCAAGAGGAGACGGAGAGATCGTCCCCAACCTCATACGACCGACATAGAACTCCCTCACAGTCCCTATATCAAACATCACCCCCTCAGTTTGCTTCGAGGATCTTAGGAGCTCCTCCTCGCGATGCAAGCGCATGAGGCGCAGAAACTCGTTGAAGTCCAAAGAGTTGCTGCCGTTCCTGGGGCTGGGTCTCTTTCAGGGCTCCGGTAGAAGGAGATGTCCAAAAACCACCTTTACAAGGACTCAGATCCTCCTCAAGCTGGCACAGTTTTTGTGTTGCATCAATGTATCTTTCAGTGGACCCAGTGTTGTGGAGTTGGTACCCTTTTCAGCTTGCTGCAAATAAGTAAGCCAGATTTGTTGTTGTGCGGTGCAAAACTATCGAAGCTTTGCTGAACTCATTGGGAAACCACACTGGACGTGACTAGTTAGGACAAAAACATGGACACTTGATGAAGCATGAGGGTAGGACTGCCGAGCTGCCAGTCCACTGTCTTCACCAGAACCTGCGGAGTCCACAAGTGGAATCCGTCGCAGGGAACCATCTATCATTGAGGCATTCAATAACATGTTCCAATGAGTTTGGGGGGAGGCGGAGTCTATAGCGCCCAAATGTTTCTTGTTCCCTTCTTAGCTCCAACGGAACCATGGCCAGAAAACTTCGCGAAACAGGAATCGAACCCGTAAAAATGTCAAGGGTGTCCATTTGGGTGTCTTTTTTTTGGCGGAACCCTGACTCTTTGGTTTTAAAAGAAGCCAACAGCAAACACAACGGTTTTCGGCTCCCAAGTGAGGGTTTCCAAAACCAGATGCCCCCCCCTTTAGGCCCGCTACCATGCAAAGAGTTCCTTTCCCAAAATGGCAAGGGTCTCATTTGAGCCTCCTGGTGTCTCAAAAATCGGGGGGGGGACCTAAAATATGAGAAACCGGGTGCTTCTCATTGAGAAACCCTCAGATCATGAGCCACAGTCAATATGAGTGGTGTTTTCAAATGACATGGGACTTCGATGTACCCCATGCCCCCCTTACTCTCTCACGCCGATGGCTTCTTTAACAGGAAACCGCCTCAAAAGTGTTTGGTGGACATGAATCCCCGAATTCCGAGATCCGCCAATTGAATTTCAAACCCATAACTCACAAAAACGCGACATGGGTGTGTCGTTAAAGGGAAACCACAAGAACCGAATCCAGTTTGGGAAACCCTACAAAGATGGACGCCACGAAGCGAAGCCCACGAGCTTTTCAGGTCGATCCATCGCCTGGACCTGGGCCAACTCGGAGCTGAAGCCCAGTGACCGAAGGATGCCGCCCACCTGGATCACATCCACCTGAGCAACCAAAAACGGCTTGTCTTGTTGTGTTTCCGGGTTTTAAACAACGAAGGAAAATAATCTTCCAAGTTGGCTCTACCAAGATGGTCGTGCAGGTTCACGTAGGTCTTGCAATAACCTTTAGGATACCGAGTAGAACCACCTACTAACATGGCCGAGGGGTGTAAAGAATCCAAAGGTTTATCGGCTTTGATCGTTTCTCAGCTGCACTCTCCGAAAGGTTTCATGTCCTGGGTAACTCTTGACCCAAAGCAGTCCATGCCTACCGTTTCTAGGGCCAGGATACGCTACGGATGGCAGAAAGTCAGTGCAGGTAGGACGAGCATGTCTTTGAGGGTACCCTTTTCCAGCTTGGTTTAAAGGGAAGCCGAAAGGAAAACCATTTTGAAGGCATTTTGAGCACCCTATCTTTGACGCATAAAGAAGGCCCAGATTGCACGGCTCCGCTTTCGACCGCCCACCTCCCCGGACTTGGCGGTGTCGTACATGTTGAAGCTCTCCTGAAACTCCTCGAAAGGAACACACAACCGAGCTGACAATGAGGGTTCTACTAATGTGTCGCTACAAATGTGGTTCCACCAATGTGGTTCCACCAATGTGGTTCAACCAATGTGGTTCCACCAATGTGGTTCCACCAATGTGGTTCCACCAATGTGGTTCCACCAATGTGGTTCCACCAATGTGGTTCCACCAACGTGGTTCCACCAATGTGGTTGTAAGGGTGTATGTAGGCCTCACAATAAACCCAACAGCAGAAGCTACCTGCTAATAAGTTGTCGTTTGCTTCAAAGGATGTCGAACGAGAAACCTGGTCCCAAAGACATGCGCATGGGGAATAGCAGCATGGGGGGTTGACGATCTTCGGTGAAGCATTCAAGCTGTTTCTCACCAGTGAGTATCTAAAACGAGTGGCCCGAATCAGAGCTATCTTTCTCACATGGCACAGTTCGCATCATCCCACCAACTGGCAATTTATTTTGAAATTGCAACCAAACAGCTGCTGAATAACTCGCCCAAAAAACAGGCAATAACAGAAATTGCACCCCAGCTAGAAACGGGTGATTCTTGTAAGACCACCTTGTGTTTCTGCATATTTCGAGAAAAGAAAAAACAAAAAAAGGGGGGGGGGGGAAAAAAGAGATCCGCCGCTCGCCGAAAAACACAATCTTCGATCCGTCGCCTTCACCTCGTGGCGCATGAAGCCGTTGCTACCACGGAAGACCTCCATCCTTCGGAGCCGCTGCGTCTTTTTGCGGGTGTGGCTCGCAAAATTCAGGGGAACCGAACCCGGTACATGGCAGCGTTCCTTGTATCCCTGAAAAACCAACCCAAGAAAGGGGTGCCCCTCCAAAAACAAAGACCCTCTTGGCTCTGGTTTGTGGTACAATCTTGCAGATTGACATGAACCCCAGGCAGGGTTTCAGAGCAGTCTTTTTTTTTTGGAGGACCCCCTTAGCGATGTTTGCTGCATGGGATGCTGTGTAAGTTTGCTGCGTAGTGATGTCCCAACCAGGCTTGCCCTTTGGGTTTGTTCGTGTGAGAATCGATTTGGAAAAACCCCAGAAACCAACTCAAAACAGAGACACCCATATTATATGAGCAATCAAAAGCAGGCACGCGGCATCTCCACAAATTCGTCGAAGTCCATCAGATTTCCTGTTTGCTTGCGCGTTCGAATACCAACAAAGACTGCACAACTTGTATCAGCAACTGAGAGCAGGGCCCTTGTGAGGTTGGACTATTTCGAACAAGTCAAAGATGACCTCAATCAGGCCGCAACACACTGGCCCACTCATTTCAACCCTCTTCCCCTGAGCACAGCTGGAACACAGATTGTGAAACCGGGCAAACGTGCAGGAACCTTCTGGCCGAAGGACTGCAACAAAAGGGCTTGGCAAAATGGGGAAGCCCCAAAAAGATCTGGTCTTCCTCGGAGGATCCCTTTGAAGAATATGTTTGCTGCCCCTCAAACACGACAAAAACACAAAAAAAGAAATGATTGCTCTCAAAAGAATGGCTTCCCCTCATACAAATGTATTAAACCAGAAATGGGACGCTCCCTCCATCAGGCTCAAAGGCAGCTGAGAGCCTCACTGCCCTTAGCGGAGTGTAGCCCAAGCTCTTCAGCACGCGGCGGATCTCGTCCTGTGGAGATGGGTATGAAATTCGAGTGGTTGGATGTTGGACTCTTTAGTGGGTATCAGAAATACATGAATTGGGTAGGGGGGGGAGAGCCTTTTGTTCTGGGCATCAAAAATATGTGGTTGAATCTCATGTCTTTTCCAAACCCACTTTGGAGGCAGCACCAACCATACAAAATTCACAGCTAAATGGATCGTGCAAACAAAGATGCACCCTCTCACAGCGCAAGGACGGCTCCTCATCTAAGAAACCTCCGCCGTCAATGTCAGCCTTCTCGAACTCCTGAAATTATCGGGTCAGTTTTTCCGGTTGCTTTCTTTGGCCGGATCCCCCACGAAGACTCCGATGCGCAAAAAGTTGGCCGAGTGCCATTCGTCCCGTGCCGAGGCACTTGTTTGTACCACTGCACCTCCACTTCTCGGAGCCGCCTGGCCCAAATCAGGAACTCGCCTCGGGTGCCAGCGACCGGGCCTGGTATTTATGTGACCTGAGAACCCTTGGTGGACATCAGATGCTACCCGACAGGGGATTCATGCCAACAAGACATGGCGAATTTCGTGAAACTCATAGTCATGCGCCATTCACTAAACTGCCAATGCTTCCTTAGAAAAGCGAGGTGCCAGACTCATTCAGCCAAACGGCGAAAGGTCATTCCCTCAACTTGCTTGGTCTTGCGCTTCGCCTGGCATCAGAAATTCGATCGAAACTAGACTGTTGAAGAATCCCTCAGGCGTAGACAGAAATGGGACCCTCCAAATTGGCTTCCCTGCAAACCAACATCACCGAGACACGTTAGTCAAACCAGCCTTGGCTTCACCATCCTCTGCGCTTTGTGTTGACGAGGGCCTGCCGAATGCATAGTGCCGATCGTGAACACAGTGCTACTCTTCTTGGCCCAAGCGGTCTCATCATGCATTTTCCCTGCCGTGGCATACATGCTGTTCATGATTAGTTTCAGCAATGTATGACCTGGTAGGGAAAACAAGGATGCAAGCACGAGACCGAGGTACCTCCCCCCATCTCCCGCCTGGGCAGCGCACTGTCCAAGCGAGCGGCCAGCTGTGCTGCCTGGCTCCCGAACATCTCCATGAGGGCCTGGCTCCGTCTCACTCTCTGGGTGCAAAGGGCATCCCTTCCAAGAAACGGAAACGAGGAAGCGACCCACTGCTTGGGTGTTCAAAGCAAATCCAAAAGAACATCAACCATTCCGAGGTTGCCCCGTGTTTGGTGTGTATGTGTGTGTGTGTGTGTGTGTTTTGTTTACGAAATTCGCTTGAGCATACCCTGGCCGGATATTTGAAAAGGCATCAAAAGGATGTGAAAACACAACGCCTTCAAACCGTGGCTTGAACAGGAGAGCTTTAGCCAGACTGCACGTGAGACAGGCCCCGAAATATAGGGCTCGCCTCAGGGGCATCTTGACAACGACCACATCAGAAGTCAGATTCCAGACCTTGGCACCTGTTCCCGCAACTGAAACTGGGGCGCCATGAAGTTCCAAGCTCTGATTCCTCTCGAGCTTTCCCAAGTTGTTCAGCGACCCCAAAGAATTAAAAAAAAAAAAAAAACACTTTGTTTCCAGTGGGTGACCCCCAGACCATGAGTTTGGGGCCCAGAATCCACAGAACAACGGCGCCTCTTTATAATTCCGGACCTATTAATATGTATTTTTGTCACTCCAATACAAATTTGATTCCCAAATTGGAACTCAGGAATCTCCATGGCACGCCCCAAATCGGTGAGCTGTTTCCAAAAGGTCTAAGGGGCCATTTGGTCACACCAAAGACCAGCCACGAAAAGGACCATCAGCCACAACCTTCCCATGGCTACTCTTCTACTCCCCGGCCTGGCTGGACAAGCCATATTGCATAATGTACCGCCCCGTGCTTCCCGGCCTCAGAAGCCGCATCGCCCAAATAACCCCACCCAAATGCGCCTGCCACATGGAATATCCCCAGCCCCGGGCGACCGGGTAGCGCGTTGGCTTCGAGTTCCCGCCGGGCGCCGCGCATGGGCTCCGCGAAGCGGCGGAAGATGCGGTTCAGCTTCAGGACCTGCGAAGCCGAGCTGTCAAACGTCCAGCAATCCAAAACTGAGGCTTGGATTTTGGCTTCCCCAAAAATGGGCTCCCGAGACAGATGGAACGGTGAGAAAAGAAAAGCATTTTGGAGCCTGGTGGGTGGGGAAACCCCATTCTCCAGAACCAGGGTTACTCCCTAGTTCCCACCCATCTAAACCGACAATTAAGGGTAAGCTGAGCTAATTCAAAAGTCAAAAGCCGAGCTTTTTGCGAAGCAAGACAAAGCACCAGTGCCAACAATGCCTGTTCAACTGTACGACTGAGGTCTTCACCACTTAGGGGCCCTGCAATAAAGACAAAAGGGCACAAATGCCAAGCGAAATCGTGACGACGCCCGCTCGCTTGCCTCCGGCTCAGCAAATCCCTCCGTCTTGCCTGCAAAAAACCACAAGCGCTCAGAATCTCTCTTGCCAGAATGCCACTGCAAATCAATCTCCGCTGTCCGGACTCCAGCGCTCGAAATTGCAACTGCCACCAGTCGAAGGCTCCCTTCGCGAAACGAATGGGTTGCCCAAAGCATTCCGTTCGGTTTGTGCTCAATGGCCGAGCCACGATAGATCAGCAGGAGTTGCACGAACTCCGGGAAGTCCAGAGTTCCAGACTCATCCGCATCCACCACATTCAATGCGCCGGAGATGGTGGATCCTTCAAGAACTCATTTGAAAAAGGGTTAGACCACCAAGAAGCTTAGCTCGAAAGAAAAAAGGGTGTATAAGTAACTGTATATCCAGAGAGCCAGTCCCATGGCCTAAACAAGACCAGCACAGGCTCAGGTGGCACCAAGAGTCGGAAGGGAGTGATGCCCAGGGATTTCAGGACCATTTCCTCAGCTGACACCCCGCAAGGCCAAGACAATCAAACGTCGGAGCTGCAAAAGAAGTCTTAGAGTCCCAAATGTCCTCTCCGAGTAACGGAGTAGCGCCCCAAACCTATTGCCTAACATTGGTTCTACCAAAGGTTAAAATGCACGTGGAGGCCAGTATGGGCCTTTCTAGCTGTCAGACTAGCAAAGAGGGATGCTCATCTTGGCGGAAAGAAACACTGCCTTTTCCCTGATATTGCTACTCTAGTGAGAGCAAAATGTGATTTTGTGCTTGCCAAGCACAGCATCACACAACTTGGGAGGCAAAAAGCAATGAAGTTCATAATGTGCCGGGCCCTCTCGGAGACACGCCCACTATGTGGATCCTTGTCTCAAAATCGTGAACCAAACTTGGAATTGTTTCGGAAAGAAAGAAGAAAAAAACGCAGGAAGTAACGGTCACGGTTTCCCCATTTGGCGCCCCCGCCCCAAGCCCAACTGGGGCTCCGCGCCAGCTCCTCAGCGCTCAACTCCCCGGACCCGTCGGCGTCGAACTGCTGGAAGATCGCCCGGATCTGAAAAAATGGCACACGAAGCGGGCCCATTTTAGCGAGACATCCCCATGAGTTGAGCTACATATGGCGGTTAAAAAGGAAAAACACGAAGTCTCAAGAGCAACGTTGAGAAACCCCGAAGGGGGAGTGCCCCTCGGCACTCGGTGTCAGAAAAAGAAAATTGAGGGACCCCTGTCTGAATGGAACCGCAGCAGCGACCATGGGAAGACTGGTAGGGGCTCGGGCGTCTCAAAAACCAGAGTCCCCCAAAACTTGTTGTTTGCTTTGACCAAAAAAAGCAAGGTTCGACGAAACTGAATGACGGTTTGAGGCGATCAACCCTACGATGGTGACTTTGGGGAAAATGCCGAGGCTTCCCCATTTGCAGGCGCCAACGACCAATATTTCCCTAAATGCCTTCTCAGCCTGCTTTGGTTTTAAGGTGAGACTCCTTGCTTTCGACCAGGGTGGTCATGGTGCACGGTAAAAAGCCCTTTACTTTGACTATCAAAGTAAAACAGCAAGGAACCTGACATCTGCCCCAGACGAAATTGCATTTTCCCCCGAGGACATAAGGACATTGGAAGTTTGGGTGAGCCCCTGGATTTCTCTAAAAAGTTGGGGTGTCGCCCAATGTTCTCCCCAAACTAAGAATAGACTACTTGGTTACCAGCTCATCTGTAGCTCCCCACCCTACGACCTGCCTGTCGGTGATCGTAGTCCTGGCAAAGGAACGTTCCATTTGGGCGCAGGTGTCGGAGCTACAGTTGTTGGAGTGCTTCTTAATTTAGGACGGCCCCGCTATTTTCACACACCGCCATGTGCTTTATACCCAAAGGAAGGTAGCTTCAAACCTAGTGGTTTCTTTTTTTCCGGTAAATCAACCACGGTTTTGAGTCTACATTGGGGTACTCCAAAAATGAAAACCTGACGAAGTCGCATCCACCCCCTCCCCCAACACTCCGCAGAAAATTCTCATATTCTACACATGCACCTAAACGCGTCCGCCAAAGTTGTAGTCTCTCTTCATGCAATACTTGGCGAAATTGGGTCTTTTAAGGAGCCCCAGTCAAGGTGGTTCCGGGAGCAAACATTCAATGTGTAAGAGTTTCATGCAGGGAAATGGAAAATGACGGACCCTCTGGCATTTTGGAAGATCCCCTCAGAATCAATACCAAAAACTACGTCTGACACCTAGCCAAATTCAGTCGCCCTTCTCGTCCCCAACAGGAAACTCACCAAACCTCGCATGCATTTACCCCCTACACAGCAGCTTTTCACGGGAAACCAAAGGAAACCAAACCGAAAGCGTGCATCTGCGTCAAAATAGGGATTTGGACCCAAACGAAAAGGTAGCGTTCTTATTTGTTTCCCTTCAAACAAACCTGGCTGCCTCCAGAAACAGCGGATAAAGCCACGATGGTTCTCTGGTGCAAGCGATCGGGCTGATTACCCGTCTACTCCGGGTCCCTGGGCTACCCCCAACGCCACGTATGCATCAAAATAGGAATGGAGGGAGCCCGCCAGCGGCCAGCGCGATTTGCTTTACTATCCTACCAACTAACATGGAAACTGACAGGTCCCTTTAAAAGGAAAGTTATCTTCAAGAAACTCCCTCTCAGGTTCCATGTTAGTTGGGAGGGGAACACGTGATATGTTCCGCGCCCGGCCACGGGCTACAGGTGGAAATGTTCACAAGCCAAACCAAAGAAAGCAAAGGTGGCTGGGTTGCCCTGAGATCCTCTGCTAAAAGTGACTAAGTCTTAGTGGGTTAAAAGGAAACTACCGAATCTAAACACTAAAAGGCTAAAAAGCTAAGGAACCGGATGGCTGGGAGCCACCAAGCTGGCTTTCACATGCTTGAAACGTGTTGACAGACACCCGCGATTCCAACACAACACAAACAGGCGCCAAAGAGGATGCAAGGGGGCTGATGCATGACGAGGTTCTGTCGGACTCCGAGCATCCGCTTCAATTCGGTGGCTCCGCTCCAAAAAGTGCATCTGAGACCCGGTCTCTCGCCAGCCGCATGAAGTCGATGAACTCCTCGAGCTCCAGGGTGGAGTATTTCCTGACCCGACAAACACAGCGGGGCGTCACTCGTAGGCAGTGCATACATGGTTCCTTGATGAACCCCGCAACCCGCAGGCATAAGTTCGATTCTTTGATAGGAATCGTAATGGCTGGACTGATATGTCCTGCCAGCCTAGCAGACGCCCCCCACACACCGCAGGTGACTATCTTTCTGGAAGCTCACTGGGTTCCCTGCCACTAATCAAGTGAATCAAGTGACCCTTGAGTTTGGAATGGTTGGGGGGTTTGAGCCTCTTCTCTGGAGTCAATTGAGGACCCGCGAACCGGGCTTCAAAGCACCGATTGAGGGCAGTCAAAAAGTGACCTTTGACGTTCGAGACGCTTCTTGCAGAGTAGGCGGTTTTGGATGCATCTTTACAGGAAGCCTGCCAAAGGTAGGCTGAACTCACATCCCGACTTTGTTTGCCTCTGCCACAGCCGCGAGTTCTTCATGAAACAATGGAGAGCTCTTTGTACGCTCTCCCAAAAAGAAAGCTCGCCTCAATAGTGGAACATTCAATTAGGAATGCCACACTTGAAGGGGTGCTGGTCAGAAGCGACCAAGGAACTGAAAGTGCATTCACCCGCTAGTGAATGCCCATGGAACTGATTGGATCTGCTGGCAAAATCGTCATATCATTATGATCGATGATCTATGGCGAGTGACTAGCAGGGCAGTGGTACTGCCCAAAATAGCAAACCTACGATCCGCTCGCGGCCCACCAAAACCTCAGGGCAGGCGCCGCGCAAATAGCCTGCGCCCACAAGCAAGGCAAGAAGGCCCATGGAAAATTCGCAAACTATGCCCACAAAGCTGAGTTGGATTACAAACGGAAGTTCGCGGAGACCATGGAGTGCAGGAGCTGGGTTTAACGACCTGGGCTGCCCAAGCCAGTGCCGAAAGCGAGACCACACATCCATTTCCATACTGCTCAAAGACACGACTTTCTGAACCGCAATGTCCTCGGCAATCGATGCCAAGGAATCATCGGTGAACGATGAAGTCCGCTTTTTTGATAGTCTGCCACACGGCTCTAACTCCGACATTCTCCAAGGGTCACCCACCGCTGCCATGTGGAGGTTCTCCAGTGCAATCAGCTGCGCTGGATCAGCATTGTCTCCTTCGGCATTCACTTTCAGGAGGCCTGGGCCAGCAGGATTTATAGGTAACATCTCGTGGGTGACGACGAGATCCTCAATGAATTCACCAGCGAGGCAGACAATGAGGACCATTAAGGCTGAGAGGTTGAAAGCAGGTGCTCGAGAACCTTCCACTTTGACCCCGAATGCAATGGCTCTGGCAACACACAGAGACACCACACTCACAAATCGAAAGTAGCCCGCGTAGATTTTCAGCTCATCATGGAATTTGCTCCAACCCGTGGGCGCAAAAAGGGACATAGCTTTGGGAGCGCACAGTTTCTTGCCGATCTGGATCAACGTGAAACGTGTCCAGCCAAGACGGGCAGAGAGGTTCAATGCAAGGCCCAATGTGCATGTTGCAATCCAAGTCCAGCCGCCGCTGCTAACGACCCCTGCGAAAGTCGCAGTCAAACGGCATGCCTCTGCAAATGCATGCGCAGACATCACCAGGCACGGAGCTGCAATATATAGCTGGTCCCCAACAAGGGCCGGTGTTGGGCCGGCCTTCTTTAAGTGGACCAACTTGTTGTAAGCGATCCGAGTGTAAGCAACCATGCCGATTTCTGCAAAGGCGGTGCCAAAGGGCAGAAAGAGTGTGGCGATCAAAGTCTGTCCACTTGCAATCAAGACGGCGTAGGTCTGCCCCAGCAACCCAAACAGTATAAAGCAACCCACAGTTCCAAACAACTGCGCAGTGGCCCAAAGCAAGTGTGGCAGAAAGCGTCGGCTCGGATGCAAGTCGATGGTGTTGTAGTAGTGGAGGAAAGGCGCAACACAAACCATGGATGACGTTCCTACACAGCAAAGGGCAAACTCTGAGAATTTGAAGGGGGACACCGCCACGATGCCGATCGTGCAAGCGAAACACCCGATAAGATGGGTATTCATTGTTGCCCTTGAGCCCGACAGTGCCACTGAAGTCATCTCGGTGCAAATGATGTTGCCTGTGATGCACCAGTTCAATGCTAAGAGCAAATTGCGAAACCACGGTACTTCGCCTTCTTCTGTTGCCACCTCAAAATGAATGGACAGCGAGATCTTGGCGATCTGCCACAGAAAGTGGAATAGCAGCGAGAGTCTCACAAAGCGCCAAGAGAAACTCCCAAAGGCGTTCACCTCAGTGTTGTGGACATCAACTTGAAGCGTCTCGGCCGTGCGCATGTCTGGATCCACGACCACCTGTCCTGACATCTCAATCAAGATAATGCCATGTTCATCCATTACGGAGACATGTCTGGGCTCACCTGCGACACTGAACCGAATCTTGATCCGATGGTTTGGGGCAAGCTCGATGCCATCTGGCCCCCTCTTGGTCCAGAATGTTCGAGGTTTGCCTTGGAACTTCTTGGCAAAAGCTGATATCCCCATGTGCGCCTTGGGCGGCTGCCATGTAAAGAAGTCTGCCTTGGAACCAATATCCTCAGCCTCGAGGATCACGCGGTGGTCATCCGGCTGTACCAAGAAGTGTGCCAGGCGGCCTCCAGCCTCAAGGCGCCTCCTGGCAAGCACTTCATCTGCTTTCCCGCCATCGCCAACAATGATGAGGCAGTGGTCTTTGAACATCTGATCATCCAAAACCATCCTATCAAAGCGTCTTGCGGCGCTTGATGCGGATATCTTGCTACCTGCAACCAGGAAGCGTGGACATTCACATACTTGAGCCGGGACCGGAAAGAGACCTGTATGACTTCCACAAGGTCAAGCCGTCAGAACCAAAGCCAAAGAGTGGCTTTAGTCTGGTTTTCCCCATTGAAATTCATGGCCAAGATCTTGATAAACCCAGGTCTTACTTGCCAAGCGCAGCCCGTCTCGAGTCACTCGCTTCCTCCCCCAAGCAAAGGTGACCTTGGCAATGTATATATATATATATACACATACATGGCGCTCCCCCCCCCCTCTCTCCCAAAACCAGCCAACATTGCGCTGTTCAGTGCTTTCAGATGCAAGATTCATCAGAAATCGTGTTTCAGAATCCTTCATCGTGAATCTTGAGAAGCGTGACTTTAAAGCCACTGCGGCACTGCGAGGTAAATGGGGTTCAAGACTCCCCAAACATTTTCCTCATCATCTTGAAGCTTGAGTCCCATCCACTTGTAGCAAGCGATTGGCAGCTCCAGCTCAACAAAGCACAACTGTTCAGTACAAGCGTCAACACAAAGTACACTCTGGCAGGCTTCAACATGCCTGTAACAACCCGTGATCATGTTTTAACTGACTCTCAGCAAACCTTCAAGTTTGGGGAAATTCCCTCATGCCCTTGCGCAGCTTCATGTGCATTCTAGTTCGACTCTACCAAATATATATTTTGGAAATCAGTTCAAAATCAAGCAACAGTGATGTGTACCTAGCTTGATTATCTCAGAACAATGTCAATACCCTCTACTCAAAATCAAAAATGGGAAGACGACCCCAGTTACAATACTTTGGTCAAAGTCAACACAAATCTAACTTTGAGCAACTGCATTTCCTTATGCGTTCCCAAAAACTGGAGAGGACAACTATTAAAATTGCAAGTTGAAATTGAAATCAATTTCAATTTCACAAGCTTAACTCATTACATGAAATTGTAAGCAAGCATGGATTGAGCCAAGCCAATCACTGGAAAGCGCTTCAATCAACATAGATTTGCTACCTAGCAAAATATGCAGCAACATGCTGTGTTTCAGCATTTGTCAGATCATCATTCCTCGCCAAAACAAAACGCCAAACCGCGCAGTGAGTCCCAAGCTTCACCAAACAGAAACGAACTACCCCCATCATGGCTGCAAAGTTTGGTTTCTTTTGTGTTTTGCTTTTGTTGGTGTGTACTTGTGTTTCTGGCGGCTTGATCTATTGCAATGCCGGCCAAATGTTGCGCAACAATTAATACAACAGCTCGCCTAGACCGCAACAACCATCCTACTCCCACCATGACAGGAAGTGTTGGCCTTGTTATGTTCGCACCATCCCCAACAAACTAAAGTGAAAGCCCGAGACGCTACTTCTTTGGATTTTAGCGGGGGGTAGCCAAGCGCCCAAACATGCTACGTGTTGTTATGTTTCTTGTTGGGAAGAGGCGCAAACTGCAGCAACATATATATATATATATATGTGCATATACTAGGTGTGTGTGTGTGTGTGCATGCGCATGTTTGAGAATGCAACTGACTGAATCCAAGTCGCGTAATCTCAGACACCATGTTTTGGATCTCTGACGCAGGTATCTTGAGGTATCCCATGAAGTCCAGTATCCTCACAGGCCCGTGCCGAGCATTTGACGTCTGCAATCCCTCCAGCTCGAAGCTTCACACAAGCCTGGACACGGAACCTTCCTTGTCCGGGTGCACTGCCCAAGCTGGAAGCAAAGCACCCTAAAGATGATCTCGCAAGCGCCCGAAATCAGCCAAAAAGAACTGCTAGGTCTCTGAAAAACGCCAAGGTTCTGTTGCAAGTCATCTGTGTGGATCTCTGGGCCTTGGCACAAGCAGACAGCGTCTAGCTTTCGAGTTGTCCCCTCCCATTCTGCATCTTTGAAGCTTCGACGCTTCTCCCAATGCCAGGTTGCATAGCAACTATCAATATGATCACGAGGGTTCATGCACACATGCTCTCGCCATGATCTCAAAGAAGCCAGCATAAGAGCGGCTGTGCTGACAAGAGACTGAAGCTTTGCCTTGGCCGACATGCAAACTTTGAACAACCGAGCAAAAACTAGTGCCTGCCGGAGAGCAAGCTCCAAACGGGAACCCCCAAGCTGGGTGCTCGGCTTTCTGTTGGTTTCCCTGTCAAACAGCCATACACTAAAACAGGAGCCACAATTGGCTTTCCTTTCCGCAAAAGGGCGCCCTTTTGTAAAACCAACTGCCTGGTGTCCTTTTGGTGTCACGCCAACAGAACCTCAACCGCATTTCATACGTTTGGCAACGAATCAACTCCGCCAGCCAGGAAACTTGATGACTGTTTTGCAACCACAAACCGTTGTGCTTCTTATCTATGTAAATGGTACCCCAAAAAAACTAGAAGACGGGTGGCCCGATAGCATTTTCCAGGACACGAAGCCGGAATCGGTCCATTTTCAACTATGCATTTCATTGTCTACTCTGCGCGTGCCTCTATGCATTTCACTGTCTATTTTCTCTGCGCATGCCTCTATGCATTTCACTGTCTACTTTCTCTGCGCATGCCTCTATGCATTTCACTGTCTACTTTCCCTGTGCAGGCATCCACGCACTTCACTCTGCACTTTCCCTGTGCATGCATCTATACTCTTCACTCTGTACTTGCCCTATGCGTGCCTCTATGCGTTTCACTGTCCATTACGCGCGACAGTCAGGGCAGCAACAGCGTCCGAATGGGTTCAACAGCATCATGATGATGCGGAAAACATCATGATGATGCCGCAACCACGAGCCAGCACCCTAGCAGCCTGACATCAATCTCGCCAAAATCACCGTCCCCAAACTCTTCAGCAGCACCCCAAACAGCACCCTGCCGTACAACAGCCAACAGCGCCCCAACGCAGCACCGGCGCCAGCACCAGACTGTCCCCGAGAACCCTGCCGTCAATCGCGATATCGCAAAACAGAACCTCCACCAGACTGTCCCCGAGAACCCTGCCGTCAATCGCGATATCGCAAAACAGAACCTCCACCAGCACCCCAATCTGCATGCCACCTAGATCTCGCAAAACGGCACCTCCACCAGCACCCCAAGCTGCATGTAGCACCCGACCGTCACTCTCGCAAAGCCGCTCTTCCACCGGCACCCCAAACTGCATGCCCCCTAGCACCCGGCCGTCGCTTTCGCAAAACAGCACCACCAGCACCCCAAACTGCATGCCCCCTAACTGCATGCCCCCTAGCACCCGGCCGTCAATCTCGCAAAACAGCACCTCCTGGGCTTCAAGATGCTGGTCCCCACCAGCACCCCAAACTGCATGCCCCCAGCACCGCACCTAGCCGTCACTCTTGCAAAACAGCACCTCCACCAGCAACCCAAACTGCATGCCCCGGAGCACCCGGCCGTCACTCCCGAAACAGCACCTCCACCAGCTGCCTGCCCCCTAGCACCCTGCCATCAATCTCGCCAATCACTTTCCCCTCTTCATTAGAAGTTAGAACCCCTATAGCTTTCCGCTATCTGGCGAGGTATCCTGGACACATTGAGAACGTCACGATTTCTATTTGACAGCAGGTGTGCTTTCCTTGGCTGACATTTTTGAACACTTCAGAGATGTATGTATGACATATTATGGTCTAGAGCCTGTGTAATGTGACACGTTACCTAACTTTGCTTTTACACTGTACCAAGCTTTGCTTATGATGCTAATTGTCCAATTAACTTGTGCTAAAATAGATTGAGTTTATGACCAGAATATGTATGAAGTGATTCTAAAAAAGCAAGAGGAGGAATACCACAAACAAGTTGTTCAGAACGTAGAAGAGCAAATGCTATTTATATGGGTGGCAAAGTCTTACTGAATCATCTGCGAAAGTCTGACATGAGCCCACTTTTGGAATATCTGTCTAACATGATTTGACCGCCTTATATATATATATATATATATACATATATATACATATATATATATATATATGGTCACCCTCCAAAGAAGTGAATAATAGTGCCACTCTCTTTTACTCGCACTCACTTGTCTGACCTCTCTTCTCACTACCAGTTCGTTTCGCTCGCGAACAAGTCTCTGAGAGTTAGAGAGAGGCGAGAATAGTGGATGGTAAAGGAAATGCAAGGGAAGGAGATAAGTGAGATGCCATCCGTTCACCCGCCTCGTCCATAAGACTCGCCACTATACGTAGTCTCTCCATTCCTTTCACCCTTGCATCTCTCTATCCCTTTATCCATCTATGTTCTATTAATAATAGATATGAAAATAGATTGGAGAAAGAGGATAGGAAGAGATGGGGAAGGGGACGGGCTATCTTTCATCTTTTCACGTGTCCCGCCCGCTATTTCCCTTCCTTTCCATTATTCCCTTTAGCTCTCAGGGTCTTGTCCGAACAGCAGAGAGAATAGACGGTGGAAGGGAATAAGAGCCTGCATCCCCCCCCTAGCCCACCTTTCTACTTTTGGCACAAAAGAGACTTTTTGGCAGATGTTCAGTGTCCACTTGGTTCGCAGATGCCTTGCAGGAAGCACCGTAATGTACAGTGTTTTTTGGTTAGATTGTGTGCATTGTGCCAAATGTCCTTTGTGCGTTTGATGTAAAACAAAACGCGAGAAAGCCAAAAACACGAAAACGGAAAGCGTTTTCAGATGCAAGTTTGTCAATGTTGAAAGCACTGTTATGTGCAGTGTGGTTTAAAGGAAACTGCAAAAACAATCCTGTTTTGTTGGTGGTTCTTAATGATTGCATCCTCAAATCATGCACAGGCTCAAAACAAGCAAAAATCCAAACCTCAAAGCTCTGAAACCTGCGCAGGCTCAGAAAAAGAAGGAAACAAATAAAAAGGAGAAAAGAAAAAAGAAAAAAAAAGCAAAACCCAGATGCAATGTCAGAGGTCAGGGCTTAATTGGTCTAGGTGCTTGCATATTTTTGCATTCTTTCAGCCTGTACACGTTTCGTAGCTTCTAGCTTGGGATTTGTTTGCATTTTTGTTGAGCCTGTGCAGGTGTTGGAGCATTTGGTTCTTAAAACATGCACAGGCTCCACAAAATGCAAACAATTCCAAGGCCTTTACTTGCTTCTGAAGACTGGGAGACAGATTGCCGAGCATTTTCATGGAAGCCTTGCGCTGCAAAACTTTCAGCTTCTAACATCATAGCTACTCAACAACAAAAAAAGAGGATACCTTAAATAACCCTGTTTGAGCTTCGTGCGGGAGAGTAATCTATAAAAGTCCCTGTCCATGAAGTATAGGTCAGTGACATCAAAACGACAAATAAACCTACATATATATATATATACGTATACATAGTGCTCACCCCTACTTTTCAAATTATCAGTGTTTACAGACTGTACAAGTGAAAAGGTGGGCGGAGGGGGGGGGGGAGCATAGCACAAACAGGACCCTGAAAACACTAGCAGCATTATGTTGATGTTGGCAGCATCATGACGACACCGCAGCCACGAAACATTTCACGCTACCTACAAGCACTGACAGAGTCTTCATGATTTGAGCAGCTTCATTGTGACTTTGGCAGCCTCATGATGATAGCGCAGCCACGAACCACTTTCTAAAAAAGTGCCTGTGCTTATATGTAACGATGGCTGTTCTATCATCATAATGCTGTCATGATGCTGCTGAATTCATTAAGACGCTGTCTGTGCTTTGGTTGTGGTGTCAACATTATGCTGCCAAAAGCACAATGATGCTGCCAAGTTATAGGACGCTGTTTGTGTTTTTGTGTACGCATAATGGTTCGTGGCTGTGGTATCATCGTGATGCTGTTAGTAATCATAATGATGCCGCTGGATTCTTTAGCACGTCGTCGTTGCTTTTGTGTAGCGCATCATGGTTTGTGGCCGTGGTAGCATCATGCTAGTGAAAATTCACCGAAACACGTGGTTGCGGTATCAACATCATTTCAATCATGATGCTTCTGAATCCAATAGGACATTGTGTTTTTTTCCGCAAGGCTTTTTCCGCTAATATGTAGGGCGTAGTGATTCGGTGCTGTAGGTGCCAGTCAGGGTGCTGTTCGGGGTGCGTTCAAGGTGCTGTGGTGGTTGCTGGCGGTGCTTGTTTTGCAATGCAACCTGGATGCTGTGTTGTGGGTGCTGGTCAGCCTGCGGTAAGGGTGTTGGCGCACTGGCGACGTTGGTTCCTCGTTTTGGGTGCGGGTGTCTCTCAATTACACCAGCATAGACCCCAAATAGCATCAAGAGCCTGAGCACCCTGACTGCATCGCCAATCAAGCACGAGCAACTGCCACACGGTAGGTACACCAAATAGCACCTTGAACAGCAAGGCACCCACAACACAACATCCAGGCATCGCAAAACAAGCACCACCAAACCACCACAGCACCTTGAACGCACCCCTAACAGCACCCTGGCTGGCACAGCACCAACCTGGCCCAAACTCGCACCCCAAACAGCCTGCTTCTCTTTAGCAGTAAGAACCCCTTGTACCTTCCAGCTCCAACCACCGACTTCCAAGCTGCCGATGTTTCATGAAGGCCTTCTTCAAGAGCTCGATGTCCTTCACAGAGAAGTCCTCTAACCTGGAGCTCGGGGACTGGGTGGAAAGGTAAGGGGTTGTTCACCTTAGTTTCAAGGGAAGCCGCAAGGAAAACCTAAGTCTCCTCCTTTCGATGTTGGTTCTATCCCTATTCTGACACCGACCCATTTTGAAGAATTTTCGTTGGGGAAGTCGCTGAAGGGTTTACGACTTCCCAAATCAAGCTAGCCAGGCCTTGCCTGTTCTCTTCGCTTCTGACAAGTGTGTGCCCTTTGCCTCAAGAGAAAACCAAAGGGAGCCTGCCATTCTAGGTGGTTCGAAGCCTTTGAGACACCGAAGCAAAACAGAGAGCTTCGCTGCATATTTCCATCTATACCATTTCCACTTGCCCATGGTCGAAGCCTGGCGAAGCCTGGCGAAGCTGAAACTTGGGAGCCGCGCGAGTCAGCCAACCTTGCTCGCCTAGGCCGGCGGAATTCATGTGTGAGCATGTTGGGTGTATAGCGTGATGTGAGGTGCCCTTTTTTGGGTTTGGGAAAACACACCCTTTGGATGGCTCCCCCACGAGCCAAACCCAGTCGCTGCCCAAGCTTTGTCCCTGATGGAACAAAGCTTCAGTTTTTGGGCCTTCCTTTGGGCTGGTACAGGTAACAAAAAACAAGACCACATGAGCTTGTCACATGGTGCTAGCTGGAGCCCAGAGCTTGTGATTCGCTGGTGTCGGGGCTTTAGGTAAGTTTGGAGGTTGGATAGGAAATGCTTAGGCGGTTGATGAAACTGTTCAGCTGAATTGAGCGTCCGAAAGACTCAAACCTCCCCCCAGGCGAGTGAGAGATCTACTTGGCAATCAGAACGATCCTGAACACGGTCCAGCCCAACTCAAACGGACTGAAGCTAGCAATAGCATTCCCCTTCCCCCGAAATCAGCCAGGCAACCAAACAAACAAACAACCAAGCAACCAAAGACAGGTCTGCCTTCTGGGCAAAACCGAGCAAAAACGAAGCTCAAGTCTCGTTGCCTGATGGAACCCATCCGCTTTGCACAAAAACAGCTTGATGACCACTCGGGCGCGTGTTTTGTGTCAGTACCCTTTTGGGGGTTGGTTTAAAGGGAAACCAAAATCATGTGGGATCCCCCTATTTGGGCGCATACCCACTCCACGGGTGGACCGTCAAAAAAATCAGCCTCTCCACTCCAACCGAGCCACACGTCCTGCTCCGTTGGCAGCTGGAGGATTTCCTAGGACACCAAGATGGCCGGTGAATTAGCCCAAAGCAGAATTGCGGATTCCCACTGAGGACGACATGGCAAAATTGGGGGTGGGGTGGTGGCATCCCTCTGATTTGTCTGGGAAGCTTGGCGGCCCTCACATCTTTGATGGGGCAACACAGCAGCCTGTCTCATGAGGACTTCTTCCGAAGTTGATTCACCAAACCTATGCCTGCCGCTTGCTTCTTGGCAGACGAACTTGCAGCCCATGATCCACCAAGTCAGGATCTTTGATTTCACCCGTGTCCAAGATTGATGGGCTTCCTGGCTCAAAGGCGCCAAGCGCCACAAAGATGCAATTGGCATCGTGCAAAGATAGCCCCGCCTTTGAGCCTCTTGAACTTCTTCGAGGGCTTCTCCTCCTCCTTCGCCACCTGTCCCAAGCCGCAGAACTGCGTGGCGTGTGCGCCAGAAGTTGCAAGCCAACCTTTGCAACATCAGGCTTGGATACCAAAGGCGCTGCATTCCGGATTTGTTAAAGCAGCCTCTGGAGGAATCACAGAGGCGCTCAGCTTCCGCGCCGCCGCCATGGAGTTCCTGAGCTTCAGGAGACAACGCGCATCCGCAGCCAGCAGCTATGCTTTGTCTTTTCCTCTGGGCTGAGCACACAAAACGGGAAGCTTTGGATGTCCTGACCTTAGGGAGGTCCGATGTAATGTGACGCTTGGCCTCTGGATGGACTCGATGAAAAGGGCAGGAACAACATGTCATCAATGTGGGTGCGTTCAAAAAATATGGTGGTTCTCCCTTTCTTTTCCCACCAAAAGGAAATCCCAAAGAAAGACATTCATGTTACAGAACCCACCAAGCAGTCATGGCCACAGACTTGGCCGTACGCTTGAAGGCCGAAAAATTATTGCAAGTGCGGAGCAAACCAACCTAGGGCACGGCCCACTAAAAGAAGCGCTGCGACATGACGTCTGCTGCCCCCCCCCCTGATACAGCTTTGAACTTGCAATGTATTGGGCCTCGGAAGACGGGTTACGTGAAGGGCTTCAACATTGTAACTGGGGGAGAGGGATCCGCACGCAGCGGGCGATGCCACAGAAGCGGTGTCAACTTCTACTTTGCTAGCAAATATTTAGGGCTTCCTCCGTACCCTCTTTCAAAAAGGGATCTTTCTCAGAAGAGGCGAGTTCCGGTTTGCCAAAAAGGAAACGCGCAAAGAAAAACATACCCAAAAGGGCGTCATGCATCATCAGAACAAAGTGGCCACACCGCGGAAATTCCCCTGCACACGAGAAGCACAATGCAAAGTGGGGACAAACGTAATATTCAAAAAATGTGCACACCTGTTTATGGCTTGGGCTCCTCCAACTACTCACGTGCTCGGATTCTGATCGTGGATACCTTGCCGCAAGCACAAACCTCCCTCTTGACCTCTGTGTTACCTTTTGGCAGGGCTCAAAAACATGTTGGGTTCAAAAATAGAAAACAGATTGCCCCCAAACAAGCAAGGTGTTTGGCGGCTCCTGACCGTGCTGAGACGACCCTTGAAGGGACCGTGAAGATCTGCAAAAGAGAAAACACTACCGGTTGAAGAAAGCCGCTTTGTTTCTTCTTGTTTTCTTTTTGGGGGGATCGAGAAAGAAAACAGGAGCTAGAATCTCGACCAAGAGGATATGCATATGTAATACACACAATGACCAAGACACTTGGTCAAGACATACGGCTATGACTCTGTTCATAAGGAACCAGCTCACAAGTGGTCGGAAATGAATCCCCGCCGAATTTCAATATGCACCAAAGCCTCCCTCGTCAAAACTCATGCCCATAGTCGCAATCAGAATCTGCTCAAGTAGCCCCAAAACCTCCGAGGCACCTCCTAGCCGCCAGGATGGCTTCGATGCTCTTCCGGCGCGCCGCCATCGGGGCATTCGCCACGCGACCACCGCCTCAGGAAAAGTGGTCCCTTAAGGGGGAAGTGTCCGGAAACTTTGCAAATGATTCAGGCTCCCGGAGCTTTCAGGCTCCTCTCTTTTTAGGGATTTGCGTTGGGCAAAAGCGAGGGTGACTTTAAGTGAGAAATCGCGGAGCCCTGGTTGGACCCTGGTTGCTGCATACGCATTGAAGAACCGGGGGTGGGGCTGGAAGCTCCCCGCGTTCTCTGTCATTTCACTTTGAAACCAACAAACTAAGATGCCCTCAAGAAGAATGGGAGGAAGGCTCAAAGGAGACCCTTGGCAGTTTCAGGGATGCCTAATTTTAGGAAACAGCCATGAACGCCCTGTATTTGTCTCACCCATCATTCTTTGAAGAAACAAATATAATCTCGGCACGTGGCAACTTTGTGCAAAGGGTTCTGAGCAACCCCTGACTCAACACGGAGGCCTGTACTGAAAAAAAAAAAAGCATTTCCGAAAACCCCAAAATCGGCCCCAACCCAGGATGGGCGGATTGTTGATATTTACGCAATTTTCCAAACAGGATGCCGTTGTTCTTTTGCTTGCACATGTGTATGCATATATGTACACACATTGGCAGAAAGTTCGAAGCTATGAGAATGCCAATTTACGAGTAACACCATCAAGAAATGAAAACGCTCAAAGCCCAAGGAGCACAAGAAACCATAGACCCGGCCAAAAATGGAACGAAGAAATGCCCTGGACCTGGAGGTGAAAGATCGGAAATGAACAACCATTGCACCAACTGCAAACATGATGTCATCCCAAAAGACCCTTGCTGGCATGCTGCGCGAGCTCTGATCATCCCCAAATCCGGAAGAAGATCCATCTTCCGACGCATGGTCGCTGGCAGCTGCAGCCTGAACCAGTCGCTTGGTTTGCAAACTACGAGAAGTTTTGACATGTGTCAGTCTCACAACCCCTGACGCACCTTTTCAAGTCCCCCATTGAAAAACACCCACATGAGCCGTGGTCAACGCGTCCCCAACGCAGAAAATTGTGCAAAAAGTTTGACTGTTGCTCACAGGTCACGGTCTCTGGTCTACAGAGAACACCCCAAGTCACGGCACGGTGGCGCGCACAAGAAATCACTCTTTCTTTTTCCTGCGAGTCTTTCCGAGTATGGCGGCACAATCATGCGAACCGAAGGTAGGCACAACAAACTGGCGGGAAAGCATGTGGCAAGGCCTCCTCTGCCAGCTTTAGCTCTGCAGCGGTCCACCATCGGCTGAGGCTCCTGTCCAGTTGGAGTCCATTTGGGTGTCGTTTTTTTAGGGGCCCTCAAGATGGTGGTCTTCCCCACCACGAAAAAGGGGGGTACCCTCAAAAAATCAATTGAAAACAAGGCGCCCACAACAAGAAGAAAGCCCTGACTCCGCTTTCTGTGAGCTCCATGCAGTGCCTGTACTGCAGTTTGTCCCGGACCATTGTTCCCTGGGCGCCAGGAACAAGCAATGCTCTCACAGAGCTTGAAGCAATAACGTCGCTAGGCTTCCGACTGGTCTTGTTCCTGCGGCACCCAGACGTGCACCAAACAACACCAGCGACCCGCCGTGAAAACCGTGGGCCGATCCCACATTCACCGATTGCGCACAGAGCCAGCTTTGCGCTCACCCGCCTTCTTTTCGCTCGCAGGCCATTCTCTTTGTGGCCCTGCCTCGGCTCGCGCAGCTATCATTCCACCTTCGACCGGAGAACACCAAGCCCCAAAAGGCCGCAAAGAGTAAAAAGGCACGTGCCAGTGACAATAGAAGCTCATGCCATGCCAAGATTCTGTAGGATCGAGTGAACACCTCATCAAAGGACAATGCCAAATAGCTCTCCTCGCGCATTGCCCGCCTCCAGGTGTGCATGGCACTGCCAAGGATAGCTGCTGCATGCTTGCTTTGAAACTGCATTACAAGCCACACAAGGTCCGCTTCTTGCGGATCAGAAAAAACAGTGCATGACCAGGCCTGTTGCTGGTCAT